TTTTTTTTTTTTTTTTGAGATGGAGTTTCGCTCTTGTTACCCAGGCTGGAGTGCAATGGCGCGATCTCGGCTCACCGCAACCTCCACCTCCTGGGTTCAGGCAATTCTCCTGCCTCAGCCTCCTGAGTAGCTGGGATTACAGGCACGCGCCACCATGCCAAGCTAATTTTTTGTATTTTTAGTAGAGACGGGGTTTCACCATGTCGACCAGGTTGGTCTCGATCTCTCGACCTCGTGATCCACCAGCCTCGGCCTCCCAAAGTGCTGGGATTACAGGCTTGAGCCACCGCGCCCAGCCGCTTCTTGGTCTTTGTTCAAATGAAATCTAAGTCAATGCCAGATCTCTCAATCTCCCTACATCCTCAGTGCTCATATCCTAATTTTTTCTTTTTTATAAAGTCTCACACTGTCACCCAGGCTAATGTGCAGCGGCTGTTCACAGGCACAATCATAGTGCACTGTGGCCTCCAACTGCCGGTCTCAAGCCATCCTCCCACCTCAGCCTCCTGAGTAGCTGGGACCACAGGTGCATGCCACCATGCCTGGCTCATATTCTAAACATTATGCAGGAAGCTTGAAGCGTTACCATCATCTAAAAATCAGTATGGAATGTTTATATTGAAAAAATTTTCAGCCAGGCACGGTGGCTCACACCTGTAATCCCAACACTTTGGGAGGCTGAGGTGGGCAGGTCACCTGAGGTCAGAAGTTTAAGTGCAGCCTGACCAACATGTAGTGAAACCCCGTCTCTACTAAAAGGCACCACACCACAGACATGGTGGTGCACCCGTAGTCCCAGCTACTTGGGAACTGAGGCAGGAGAATTGCTTAAACCCTGGAGGCAGAGGCTGCAGTGAGCTGAGATCATGCCACTGTACTCCAGCCTGGGCAACAGGGCAAAACTCTGTCTCTCAAAACATATTTTTTTTTCAGGTGAGGTGAAGAAAAAAATATGGGCCCCCATTGTTTTTCTTTAAGGGAGGAGCCATTTTGAAAAGCCCGTTTAGAATCCGGATGGTGGTATCTGTTGCTCTGCTGTGTGAGTGAAATGCAGGTAAGTGTTAAAAAAACAAAAAAGTGGAAGTCTCCACCGAAAGACCTACACTGCTCTGGGAGGGATTTTCATCAGACATTTTAAAAGCAATTTTTGTTACTTGATCCTGTCCTCATACTTGACTAGGAGTTTGGCTGGAGATTCTAAGATGATACTCCATGATCTTCTAGCATCCCTTGTTGCCAGCGAGAAGTCTGATGTGGATCAGTAAGTGATATGTTATGCAGGTTAACTTATTTTCAAGAAATAGAACTTTCTTTTTATTCTTGACTTTGGAAGTTGAAACTGGCCATATCTAAATATGTTCATTCTGTTACTTAGTACCAATTGTGTCTTGTTTTTAAACCTGGGAAATTTTCTACCATTATTACTTTGTTTCTTCCCTTTTTTTTTCATTTTCTCTTTCTAGAACTTTCTAGAACAAATCTCAGGTTCCCCAGATGTTTCTTCCATAATTGTTACCATGCTTCTCATATGTTTCATCTTACCTTCTACTTTTGTCACCCCATCTGAGTTTATTTCAACAGCCAAATATTTTAACGTTATTTTGAAATGATTCCAGGCTTCCAAAAAAAGTTTCAGGAATAGTATAAAAACTGCCATTTACCCTTCACCCAGATTCATAAACTGCTAACATTTTTCACCATTGCTTTGTCATAATCTGTGTGTGTGCAGGAATCACAGAGGCTACCTTGTGATGTTTGTGTATTGCGTATGCACACAGTTTTTTCTGACCTATTTGAAGTAAGTTACAGAGCTAAGGCCCCTTTATCCCTAAATACTTCAGGGATGTTCTATGAGCCAATTACGCACAATTATCAGAACCAGGAAAGTACACACTGATACCATAGCCGTGACCAACAATACCCTAATCTAGTGACCTTACTGAAATTTTGCTAATTGTTATTTTGGGGTGGTCGGGATTTTTGTTTGTTTGTGATAGGGTCTCACTCTGTCACCCAGGCTGGGGTGCAGTGGTACACTCACAGCTTACTACAGCCTCAAACTTCGGGCCTCAAGTGATCCTTCTGCCTCAGCTTCCCAAAGGGCTGTGATTACAGGCATGAGCCACCACACTGGCCTCATTTCCCCTTTCCTTCTCCAGGATTCTGGCTTCCCTTGCCCCATTCATCCATCTCCATCACCCTGTAAGAGATCTGAGTCATTGTCAAGCCAGGTTTGGGGAGGTTTCTTGATGAAGGCAATGGAAGGAAGGTGCTCGGGCTACAGTGGGGAGAGCTTTTCTGTTTTTGAGCTAAAGAGATAGCAGGGTGCAGAGGCTGAGAAAAGGAGTTCTAAGAAACTTGGCATGAGCTCTGTAGCCTCTTCACACTGCTTCTGAGTAAAATCTCACAGTAGGAGTGACATTGACATTATGTTGTTTCTGGAGAGGTCGTGGGACTGGCCCCTATGGGTTGGTAAGGGCACACTTGTCGGGATATGTGGGCTCCCTGCTTCCAGAGGCCCAGCAGCTGCCAGGTACCTGGAGCTTGGGGCTGATGACAGGGCTGGAGTTCTGGCACACAGTGACCCCAAGTGTGTTTTTGTTTTATTTTTTTCCTTGTGATGGTGGAACTGTTTTAGGTTTGTTTTTTTTTTTTTTTTCCAACTTTTAGACACGGGCTACATGCGCCGGTCTGTTGCCTGGGTGTGTTGTGTGGTGCTGAGGTTTGCAGTGAGAATGATGCTGTCACCCAGATACTGAACATAGTACCCAACAGTTAGTTTTTCCACCTTTGCCTCCCCCAAATGTTTCAAGGGCTGGGTTTGAGTTTGGGGCACCCCCCCAAGCACTCCCATCTCCCCAGCAGTCTCACATGTTTGGGGTCATGATTTCCTGTTGCTGTTTCATTTCAGACCTGATCCCTTGTTTCTCTTTTTCAGGAATTACCCAAATTTCCTGATGTACTTACAGTACCATCTCTTGTTTTCCAATATTTGGGAATTTTTAAATATTTTTCCATATCAGGTTTTGGGGTATGACCGTGTGCTCCGTCCATTGTGTTGTTCCGGGTGCCGCAGTGAGGGTACTGACCACTGGTCTGATAACGGGGGTCTGCTTGGAGGACAGGAGGAGCCTCCACCCAGGCAGAGACAAGAAGTCTATCAATCAGATGAACTTCAGAATTCTTGCTAATCTGGGGTCCTAATTATAAGACTGTTTAAACAGAAATTTTGCACTTAAACTTGATGTTAAGTTTTCTGAAATGTAGTTCTATATGTTTTGTTGCATGTAAAAACACCCTGTCTAGAAGAACCGTTATTTCTCTTAGTTCTCATCCCAGAAACTTCTGGAATGATGCATCCATGCTTTTGGCAGAGCTCACCTATTAGCACTTTCATTAGATAAGTACCCCTTATGGAGAGGATCAATTCACTTCACTTACTATGGGCAATTAAGTTCCAAAGGATAAGACTGCATTACCTAATGTTTCAACTGTTATCAGCAGAGCCTGACCAGTAACTGCACAATTGAGCAGAAAGAAGACAAGGCACGGTTTACGGCAGCAAGTGTCACCTGCTGCTGGGCTTCTTCTAATCTTTGTTCTGGTATGGCCAACTGCTTCATGCCTTGGGGCAGTACTGTTCTTGGCAATTGAGAGCTGCACTAGGGGTGGGTGATATTTAAACCTGTGGTTAAGATAATAAAATGCCAGAGGCCAGGAGCAATGGCTCACACCTGTAATCCCAACACTTTGGGAGGCTGAGGCAGGCGGATCACTTGAGGTCAGGAGTTCGAGACCAGCCTGGCCAACATGGTGAAAACCTGTCTCTACTAAAAATACAAAAATTAGCTGGATGTAGGTGGTGAGTAAATGTAATCACAGTTACTCGAAAGCCTGAGACAGGAGAATTTCCTGAGCCCAGGAGGTGGAGGTTGCAGTGAGCCAAGATCACACCACTGCACTCCAGCCTGGATGACAGAGCAAGACTCCATCTCAAAAAAAAAAAAAAAAATATATGCCAGAATACCTAATGAGAGCTGTAAGATCAACCACCTCACACTACAAAGTTCAAGAGGTTGTGACTTACCCCAGGTCAAACATGAGTCGGCGGCGTGGCCTGGCATACTGTTCCTTTTAACACTGATGTTTTAACACATTGAGTGCACAAAACTTAGTACTAAATAAATTCTGAGGAACAAGTAAACTAATGATTCCTAGCAAGCAATGAGAAGTGCTAGTAACCTTGTTAACGCCAACAAGCAACTTACTACCAAGTTCAGTCTGATTTTCTTTTCTTCCTCTTTTTTTTTTTTTTTTTTGAGACAAGTGTCTTGCTTTGTCTGTAGTGTGGAGTGGTGCAATCTCGGCTCACTGCAACCTCTGCCTCCCAGGTTCAAGCGATTCTCTTGCCTCAGCAATCTGATTTTCTTATGGAGAAGACTATATTCAACAAATTTTGAGTACCTAATACCAGAACAACACTTGATTTTCTGATAGCTGGATGACTGCTTTCTTAGGATCTGAAATTTTTTGAAAACCATATGCTGGTATATTACAGGAATAATTGCAATTACAAGCTGTAGTGTCTAGTACAGTGTTAGTGTCTTTGCCTAGTGTGGAAGCCTCCGAGTATTTTATGTAGAATGAACTGAAATCATTCTATGTAACAGGGCCTGGAATAATCAAAGTCACATTTACCCCCATAGTTTCACATTCCATATTTCTACTCACTCTACCAATTATTTTGGCTCTCCAGAAGTATATGAGGCAGAGATTCAAAGGGCATCGCTTTCTTCCAAAGTTGATCATTATTGAGGGGGATTTTTACAGTCTTCCTTCCCTCCTCCCTCAGCTCCCTCCTTGTTAGAGATGCTAACAAGAATTACCATGTCCTAAGATACTGGAGGAAGTAAAAAAGGTGAAGGCCCTGCACAGTTTAGTTCCTATTTGGCATGTCTTGGCCTTCACCCTGTGTAAGGCAAGGAGACAAAGACATGAAGTTAAAATTACAGATAAATACCAGTGTATTCGTCCTTTTTCACACTGCTATAAAGAACTGCCCGAGACTGGGTAATTTATAAAGGAAAGAGGTTTAACTGACTCATAGTTCCTCATGGCCAAGGAGGCCTCAGGAAATTTACAATCATAGCAGAAGGTGAAGAGGAAGCAAGACACCTTCTTCACAAGGTGGCAGGAAGGAGAATGAGCACAGAGGGAACTACCAAACGCTTATAAAACCATCAGATCTCATGAGAACTCACTGTCATGAGAACAGCATGGGGGAACTGCCCCCATGATCCAGTTACTCCCACCTGGCCTCTCCCTTGACATGGGGGGATTATGGGGGTTACAATTCAAGATGATACTTTGGGTGGGGACACAGCCAAGCCATATCATACAAGGAATGACTGATACTAAAGATACTAATTTTCTTTCCCTTGGTTGGCCAGGCTTTTGTCTTCATGACTGACCAATAGAGACCAAACAGTTTGGTTTAATCCCACTGCCCTCTAGTGCTTTCCAATGTTGGCCAAATGTCACCTTCATTTTAAACATTCCTCCTGGGAAAAAATGACTTTCTATCATACGATTAGGGAGAAGAGAAGAGGAAGCAAGAGAAAGGTTTAAAATGTTGTACAGAAGTTTCCAACCACAGGAGGAGCAAAACACCAAAGAGGTTGTAGAATACAGGGTGTGGCAAAGAGCCGGCGCCCACGGTGTGCTGAGAAGGCGCCCACGGTGTGCTGAGAAGGCAGGCCAAGCCAAGGCTCAGGCTTCCTAGGACCACGTCCTGCCTGGGGAAGCATTCCAGTTCTCATCGTGGAGAAATGGCTAAGTTCCGTGCAGCTGGAGGGAGGCCACATACACCACACTGTCTTTGCAGGAGGTTCCCAGGGAAGAGACAGACCAGCTAAATGATCTCCAGTCCATCCTTGGCTAGAGCCCCAGGCTAAGGAGAAAGCTGGGCAAGTCCATGATGTCAGATCAGAGTGGGGCTGCGGTTCAGGTCTTAAATATCAGGAAGCCCCCAAATACAGTGCCCGGCAGGCTTCTCTTTGTTATCGATCCCTGGGTTAACTCAAACCACACTCGCTCACCCTTCTGCAGCTCAGCCATAGCAAAGACAGTTGCTGTGCTTCCACCCCCATGCCCAGTGGTATGGACTGGAGTCCGATGGTGACCTCCAAATACCAGCTGCCCGGTGCCTGGCCCTGGGCCAAATTCAATGCTCGCTGCAAACAGGTAGACACCATGCTCAGGGGCTCGGAAGTAGCCATGTTCAGGGAAGTAGCTGCTGCCAACGTTGATGTACGTAGTGTTGAACTTTACCATCTGCAGGGCAGCCGTCCCTCCTGAAAAGCTGGCATAGAAGGCCACAGGGGACCCTGAAACATAAGAGGAAAGTGCTCAGTGACTCATCTCTTACACCCTTGGATGGGAAACTAAACCCTGACACCTGCCGTCCTCACCTTACTCTACTGGAAACAGGTCACTATTTCTAGATAACCTAGATATTCCCAATGGCAATGTTACTGCAAGGAGCAGAGCTAGATGGCCAATTCTAAGTTTTCCACTAACCGAGAGGAGGGAAAATGCAAGTCTGTTGTCTCAGCTGATGTACATTTTAACAAAACGCCTTCTCTTTTTTTTTTTTTTTTTTTGAGACAGTGTCTACTCTGTTTCCCAGGCTGGAGTGCAGTGACAGCCATGGCTCACTGCAGCCTTTTTTTTTGGTAGAGAAAGAGTCTTACTGTGTTGCCCAGGCTGATCTCGAGCTCCTGGGCTCAAGCGATTCTCCTATGTCAGCCTCCCAAAACACTGGGCTTACAGGGATGAGCCTGGCCACAAAGCACTATCTCATTTGACCCCTTTTCCTTCCAACTTCCTTGAAAGACAGTAACTCTGATTGGCAATAACTCTGATTGACAAAATGGGCTGAATTCTTCACCGGCTGCCCAAGGCTACATGGTTTGCAAATGGCAGACTGGGGCAGGAACACAGGTCTCTGACTCCCAGACAACTGCTACTTGCTAGGAATGTTGAGATACTCAAGGGAGAGAAAATATCCATCCTCAAGGTAATAATGATGCTAACACCGGGGAGGTAACTGCAGAGCCATGAAGGCTGGATCCTCCTGGATGTTGGAGACAGAACCTTGGAGAAAGAAGGAAAGAGCAGGTGGAACCAGGGAAGAGAAAAGCCCCCAAGCTGGTCTTTTTTTTTTTTTAGTTGATAAAGTGTCTCTTGTTGCCCAGACTGGAGTGCACTGGTGATCATTGTTCACTGCAGCCTCAACTTCCTCAGCTCAAGTAATCCTCCCACCTTAGCCTCCTGAGTAGCTGTGACTACAGGCTTGCACACCATGCCTGGCTAATTTTTTATTTTTTCTAGAGACAGCGTCTTGCTCTGTTGCTCAGGCTGGTCTCAAACTCCTGACCTCAAGCAATCCTCCCACCTCAGCCCCACAAAGTGCTGGATTGCAGGAGTGAGCCACTGTCCCTGGCCAAGCTGGTTATCTTAATATGGTTTTGCAAAATGTTCACAGAGCCCTGAGATTACATATGGGTAAACTGAGGCCCAGAAAGAAAAAGCTTATTGCTCCAGACCACACAACTAGTAAAATTACCAAGCCTCCGGGGAGTAGACCCTGAATCTCTTGACCTGTTTCTCTGCAGGGTGCATTTTAGCTAGCCTTAGGACGAGAACACTGAGACAGAACACGGGTGCCAGGCCCATGCATGGGCACAGAGGCAGAGGAAGCTGCCATGTGTGGAGGGTGGACAAACAGCCAGGAAGAAGCCAGCCACGCCGCCTAGCCAGGATGGTTGGGTAGCTGGGGACAGAGTCATGAGACAGCATGGGAAAGGTGAGTCCTGCTTGGGTCCTGGCTGTGACACTGGCCATGGCACCAACAAGGTCATGTCCACCGTGGGTTTCCTCAACTTGCTCCATCTCTAGGAGTTGAAAACAAAGTCCCCATTTCTTAGGTGATGAAACCAAGGCCTGAGAAGGAGCCGTTTGCTGAGCAATTAGTGACTTGGGTCCTGGAACTAGAGCCCCAGCTCTTTGCCTCCCAATCCAGCAACAGCCTTGTGAATTAAAAAAAAAAAAATGTTGCTTTTCTCTAGTTCTGGAAGAACTGAGTTCTAATTTTCTGAGAATTAGAGTTGAGAATAGCTTTCCCATTTGTGTTAAGATTGTGCCAAGTCGGCCGGGCACAGTGCTCACGCCTGTAATCCCAGCACTTTGGGAGGCCGAGGCGGGCGGATCGGTCACCTGAGGTCGGGGTTCGAAACCAGCCCGACAAACATGGAGAAACCCCCATCTCTACTAAAAATACAAAATTAGCCGGGCGTAATGGCGCATGCCTGTAATCCCAGCTACTCAGGAGGCTGAGGCAGGAGAGTCGCTTGAACTCGGGAGGAGGCGGAGGATGTGGTGAGCCGAGATCGCGCCAATGCACTCCAGCCTGAGCAACAAGAGCGAAACAACGTCTAAAAAAAAAAAAAAAAAAAAAAGATTGTGCCAAGTCAGAGGCTTGCGGCTGCTTCTGCAATTCCCCTAACACCCAGCAGGTGGGGCTCTCGCGAAGCCGAAGGAAGGCCGGTCCGCAGCGCCCTCTGCCGGTACTGGGCCCTTGTTCCGGCCGTTGCGGCCGGGCGCCTGCGCGGAGAGTTCCTCCGCAGAGGGAGGCCCCACCCAGCCTTGCGCCCGACAGGCCACAAAATGCGGGAAGGGGCCGGGCGCGGTGGCTCAAGCCTGTAATCCCAGCACTTTGGGAGGCCGAGGAGGGTGGATCTCGAGGTCAAGAGATCGAGACCATCCTGGTCAACATAGTGAAACCCCGTCTCTACTAAAAATACAAAAATTAGCTGGGCATGGTGGCACGTGCCTGTAATCCCAGCTACTCGGGAGGCTGAGGCAGGAGAATTGCCTGAACCCAGGAGGCGGAGGTTGCGGTGAGCCGAGATCACGCCACTGCACTCCAGCCTGGGTGAAAAGAGCGAAACTCTGTCTCAAAAAAAAAAAAAAAAAAAAAACGCAGGAAGGACTGTGCAATCTTAGAATGTGCGTCCCTGCAGGGCATACATTCCTGCAAACAAATAAAGGGAAGAGCGGAAGAAAGAGAGAGCGCGTGTTTGTGTGTGTGTGTGTGTGTGTGTGTGTGTGTGAGACAGTCCTACTCTATAGCGCAGGCTGGAGTGCAGTGGAGCAATCTCGGCTCACTGCAACTTCTGCCTCCCAGGTTTAAGTGATTCTCCTGCCTCAGCCTCCTGAGTTGGGATTACAGGTGCCTGCCACACCTGGCTAATTTTTGTTTGTTTGTTCTAGACGGAGTCTTGCTTTGTCTTGCCCAGGCTGGAGTGCAGTGGTGCAATCTCGGCTCACTGCAGCCTCTACCTCCTCCTCGACCTCCCAGAGTGCTGGGATTACATGCATGAGCCACCGTGCCTGTCCTAATTTTTGTATTTTTAGTAGAGACGGGGTCTTGCCATGTTGCCCAGGCTGATCTCAAACTGTTGGCCTCAAGTGATCCACCTGCCTCAGCCTCCCAAAGTGCTGAGATACGGGTGTAAGCCACTGCACCCGGTCTGGAAATTTGTTTTTAAGGAAAACATTTTTTTGAAATGAACGATCATTGTGGTAAACACATTCCCAAACCATCAAGCAAATTCTGAAAGTCATCAGCATATCGAAGCCTTGCACCATGCACGAGAGGAAACGAGGGACGTGTCAGTGTGTGTGGGCACAGCCTGGCCCTGAAAATGCTGGGGAAATGGGAAAACACTGACTGGGTTTCACACGAGGTAAGCCCCATGCTAGGTATTTGGTAAATGCAGCTGTCTTCGTAACTTTGACGTGAGTTGGGATTCTGCCATTTTACTGAGGAAGAAACAGGCAGGTGGTGATAGACCCTGGGTGCCCTTTCACTGCTTTGCACTGCCTCTTGGGCCACAGGGAGGGTCAACAGTGGCAGGACTGCCTGGGATGGGACTTTGACAAGGCCTTAGACTTGCCACACAGCAGGCTACACATGGCCAAGATGGTGGCCTTGTTCTTAGCCCTGTGTCTGGGTGGGGAATGGCCCCAGCTCCAAGGCCAGCTTCTAGCTGAGTCCTTTAAGACACAGAGCCTAGTTGTTCTCCCAGAGCCATGCTCAGGGAGGGGATGGGAAGTTTGGTCATACATCCCTTCAGCCTCAGAGCCAGCTCCCAGGCCCAGGGACCTGCAGGGACCAGCCATGGAGGGCCTTTTGGAGGGGACGAACCAGCACCCTAAAGACAGCATTCCTCTGCCGCTCCCTAGCTGTTTGTGCCTCAGTTTCGGGTAAGGTGGTAGTGCTGATGAGTTCGTCACTGACCTGTTGGGATGGGTCACTGTGGAAAAGCCCAGGAAGGGGACCTAGCACAGAGCAGTGAGACGGGTTAACTGTATTTGCAGAGAGAATGGGCTCCTTTCAGGGCCCACAGCTTTCCCTGTACAGTCCACTGGGGTGTACACTGTAATGAAACTTACATGAATGTGGTTTCTCCCACTACCGAAATCTTAGTGTACTGTACTCACCTATTTTCTGATCATGGTTGATACAAGAAACTGAAATTGAGGCTGGGCACAGCGGCTCACACCTATAATCTTAACACTCTGGGAGGTTGTGATGGGCAGACTGCCTGAGCCCAGGAGTTTGAGACCAGCCTGGGCAACATAGCAAGACTCCATCTCTGCAAGAAGTACAAAAATTAGGAGGGCATGGTGACATGTGCCTGTAGTCCCAGCTACTCTGGAGGCTGAAGAGGGAGGATCAGCTGAGCCCAGGGAGGTCGAGGCTACAGTGAGCTGTGATTCCACCACTGTACTCCAGCCTGGATGACAAAGTGAGACCCATCTCCCAAAAAAAGAAAAAAAAGAAATCATGGAATGTAAAACAGCGGCTAAGTGGGGCTGCCCATGGCAAGGGGCCACAATCTCTATCCACATTCTCCCTGGATACAGTGGCTTGGCACATGGGGATGAAGCGAGTGCAGCGAAGAGCTGAGATGGGGGGACCTGAGGGCTGCCCTGGCAGGGCAGGAACACTCCCCTCTCTGCAGCAAGAGCATTGGCTCTGCCTGCTCGTGGGCTCTGGCACTAGCAGGTGGTTCTTGTGACTTCTTCTGCCTCCCCATATGCCAGGTAGCTTGTGAGGCCCACAGCTCTGAAAAGCAGCTGGGCCAAGGGGAGAGGACCCTGAGTAGGGGTGAATGATGACCATCCTGTTCTCTTTCGTCCTGGCCCCCTTGGAGGCAGAAGAGCTGCTGGCAGCGCACCCTGGCCTCCTAGACTCGCCCAGTCTCCTGGGCACAGGAACTCACCTGCCTCCCAGAGTGCCGTGCCCAAGGCACCTGGCACAGGCCCTGTGATGCGCCCGTCCACCAAAGGCTCCGCTTCCTTCTTGTCTCTCTTCCGGGGAGCTTCCAGACCTTTCTGCTGCTTCTTTTCTTTCCTGCTCAGTATGGTCTGCAGCTTCCCCAGGTCCAGGCTGACGTTGGCTGCCATGAGCCCTTGGAAATTCCCAAAGAGGCTGTGGAAGAGCTGCTGGTGCTGCTCCAAGCTGCGCCGGGTGGCGGAGAGTGTGCTGTGGAGGCCGTCGAGGGAGGCGTTGAAGGAGACGGCCCCGGCTTCGGCCGTGGCCTCGCAGCACCCCGCGACACGCTGAACTTCACGGCTCAGGCTCTGGAGCTCCCGAGCCAGGCCGGCCAGGGTGGTGGTGGCGGCCTCTTCGCGGCCCAGGTCGTGGCTGGGCTCCAGGCGCTCTACCGGCCGCGGGAGCTCCAAGGCCTGCTCCAGGGCCGCCACCCGGGCGGCCAGCACATCCCAGCCAAGCGCCTGCTCCTGCAGCCCGATGGCGGCGTCCTGTAGAGCCACGCGGATCTGCTCGTAGCTCAGGGGCAGTGGCCCTGGGGCCTCCTCAGACATCTCCTCCATCACCTCTTCCCCGAAGAGCGCGGCCAGCACCGCCTCGTGCCGCAGCGCGTCCTCCAGCAGGGCGGCGAAGGCGCTGTGCAGCTGGCGCACCTCGTGGCGGGTCTCGGCCGCAGCCGCCTTCAGCGCGCCCATCTCGTCGTCCAGCGCCTGCACCTGGCTCCGGAGCCGCGCCGTGGCCGCCCGCGCCCGCTCGCCCTCCGCTTTGTGCGTATCCATAGCCAGTGACACAGCGTCCACGGTGCTCTGCAGGGCTTGCAGGGAGGGGCCGTCCAGCTGGCGCTGCTCGTCCAGGCTCACCTGGGTCTCCTCCAGGGCGTGCGTGGCGCCCCTCTGGCCCTCCCGGATGATGTCCAGGTCTAAGTAGAGCTTATGGCAGTTGCAATCCTTCACATACTTGATGAGGTCGGCGTGGCCACCCTGCAGGTGCTGCAGCGTGAGGTTGAGCTCCAGGAGCTGCCGCTCCACCTCCTCCTTGTTCTCCTCCATGATCAGAGACTTCTCCATCAGGATCACCCGCAGCTCACGGAGCGCCGTGTGGTTCACCTGCAGCTCCTCCACCTGCCGCTCCACCTTGTTGATCTGATCAAAGGTCTCGTCCGATTCAGAGTACAGTTCCTTGATCTCATCCCCGTGCTGGGTCAGGGTGGCCCTCATGTCCTCCAGGGTGTTCTGGAACTCCTTCTCCCTGAGAGCCGTGGTCATGTGCAGCTCTGAGAGGTTCCTCTGCAGCTGGCCCAGCCTGGCCTGCAGGCTCTCCGGCTCAGGCTTTGCCCCAGCCCAGGGCGTTGCCACCACCAGGCTGCCGTTGGTCCCTCGGGCCTCCTGGGCCTTGTGCAGCCTCTTCAATTTGGTGTCCACATCGACCTGGAGCTCTGAGACTGAGTGGTGCAGGGTAAGGTGCTGGGCATGCAGGCGGTCCTCCATGTCCTGCTGCAGCTGACTGACTCTCTGAGCATTCTCCTGGACTTTGGCCTCAAATTTGGCACCAAGCTCCTGGAAGTCAGCCCTGACCATAGCACTGTCCTGGACTCTTGAGATGGCCTGGCGATTGGCCTCCACATCAAGAGACAGGTTTCTTATGGCCTGGGCAAGGCTGTGCAGGCTTTCATTAAAGCTCCTCCAGATGGGGCTGAAATGCACGTGAAGGAAGGTGTCCATATGGGGTAGCAGCACCTGCTCCAAGGATCCATCGGGAAACTCTGCAACAGAACAGACATGCAGTGTGACACAAGTCCTGCAGGAGCAGACACTCCTCCCGGGCTGGGACCAGCGGGGTCCTCCCCAACTCCTCTCAATGTGACCAGGCTCTTCCTTAGCCCCTAAAGCCTGCCACTCACTGTGCTCTGTTTGATTTGCTTCCATCGTTGCAGCTGTGAGGTTACCAGGCAGGGCCTTCCACAGGCCTGGCAGGCTGTCCGCCACCTGGTGCACATCATTCTGGAGATCTGCCAGCAGGCGTTCCTGCTGTTTCTGTTGCACCTCAACCTCACTGATCACTGCAGCCAGGTGGCCTGAATACACAGCAGACATAAATGTCAAGGGCTAACTCACCAGGTTTCGGAAGACCAGGAGAGTTGAGGGCTGAGAGCAGGGAAGGTAGCTGCTGATGTCCTCTGAGCAAGGGCTTAGAAGCTTTAAACCACTGGAGAGCAAATGCATAGCAAGTGAGCCCTCACTCTGCCTCCTACACCCACAGCAGACATGACAAATCAATAATGGCACACTCCCCTTTTTAGCACATGCACATGGCCTCACAACATCATATATGGCAGCCCTTGTCAATAAATACTTCCCCACATGATGAAGCTCATTTGCTTTCTCAATCTTGGCCCCAACCTCGAAGGGCCCCGCTGCAAATGGTGTCTCTTAGTGGGTTTCCTGTGCTGACTCCAAGACCAAGGATAGCATGACTTCCTGGCCCTGGTTAGGGCTGTGGGGAAGGGTGAGAAAGCTTTTTCTAGGCACAGGGCTTGTGTGGTTCAAGGGGGCAAGGGAAGTGCCAGATGAACCAGTCCTCAGAAGACAGAGTGAAGGAAAAGGGTGTGTGTGCTCAGCCAGCAGGCAGCTGGGTCCCTGTGAGCCTGGCCTTCAAGGTGGGAGGTGGTGCAAGCCACAGAGGAGGACTTGCTGATTCTGGAGGCAAGGATTCCCTGAAATGGCGCTGCTGTTTCACAGGAGAAAGGGCCAGCTGGTGACGTGGGCTCCACCAGGCTGCCTGCCCCTTCTGATAAGGAACACACCAGGTTGGAAGTTGATTGGTCCATCCCCAGGTTCCTGGTGGCTGTCACCAGGATCTGCAGGCTCAGGGATTGCCATGGAATCTGCAAAGAAAGCATTAGATATTGACCCAGCAGTCAGAGGAGCTGCTTGACCTTGGGAATCAGTGGTCAAGTCGGGAGGGGGCTGTAGGGAGCCCTACCGTGGTGCTCGCAGTTGGGGCCTGTGTAGCCAGGGCAGCACCTCCAGGCCAAGGAGGTCAACACCTTCTGCTTGACCTGGTACACTGGCTTGTGGGCCATGCGGTACCTGGAGGAGAAGGGCTGGCTTAGTGACTGTAAGGAGGGCCTGCTCTGGGCCTGGGCAAATGGCCCGCCCCCACCACTCACATGACTTTGACTCTCTGGCAGTCTGGAGCCCCCTGTGGACACGGCTGCTGCGAGTGGACGAGAAATTTCTCTGTTTTGCAAACAGCTAGTAAGGTGACCAGCTTGGACATCGGATAGGGGCACCAGTTTCTGGAAAACAAGGCAGAGGAGAGAGCAGCTGAGCCACATCCAGGCCAACAGGGGGTGCTGGTACAGAGCCACGGGTCCCTGACTCCTGCCTGAGCAGTGCTGCGATTCTGGACTCCACTATCCTGAGGAGACAGCCCTCTGCATTATTCATCCCTGGGCTCCAGAGCAAATGTTTCACAATCCCTGCCTGCGAAGAGGGCACCTGCTCCACCACCTTCCCGAGGCCTCCCCTAACCAGCACAGAGAGGCTGAGAAACCCGCCAGAATCTAGACCTGTGAAAAGCAGCTCTGGGGTGATGACCGTTTTAGCCAACAAAACTAACAGCCAGAGTGTGGGGGAAACACCATGTGTGTTGCAGCTGTCTGAATGGATTCCTGTTGATGAGGTCAGCCGCAAAGGCAGAAAGGCTCTTGCTGTTTTTCTTGGTACCAGGGAGGCTGCAGGGTGCAGCTGAGGCTGGAGAGTCCTGGGTTCGAATCCCTCACACTTTCCGGCTGTGTGAACCCATGACGCACTTAGGCAGCTTCTGTTTCCCCGTCTATACAACGGCGATCATAATGCCCTCCTCTGAGTGGGCAGAGGAGCCCCAGGTGCCTGGCTCCTGACAAGTGTTCTGTGAACACGGCTCCACTCCCCCATTCCAGCTGCCCTGGCAGCCTGCCCAGCTGCTACTCACATGAGGGACCAGCTCCCTGGCCATGCCCATTAGGACCATTCTAGAAAGGGGCTTTCAAACAGTTGTCCTAGGGGAAGGTAAGCAGCTGGGTGGAGCAGCGTCCTCTCTGGGAGTGGTCACCTCATCAAGGTCACGCAGGGTGGCAGGGGATCACACGCAGCATCCTGCACACCTGAGAGGTAGCCCGTCCGTCCTGGCCCTTCACCAGCATGTACTATGGTATCCCAGGAGCGGGGCATGCTCATGCTGATGGAGCCCCAGTTCACTGACCCGGTGGCTGACTCCATAGAGTCAGTGGTAGTGGGTCAGAGAGTCCTTCCCCAGGCAGCCAGCTCCCAGGACAGAGTTTGTCAGAGTTGCAAGTGGCAATGATCTCTGTGGCACAGTGCAGCTCGGCACCTCTTGGGTGCCAGGTGCGGGGCTTGAGCTCAGGGTACAGATGTGGAGGTGCAGACTTTCCCTTCAGGGTCCCCAGGGAAAGCAGGCACTCTCAGAAGGGGTGAGGGGCGCTAGGATCTGCAGAGACTTTCAGGAGAAGGAGCTAATGGGCTGTGTCTTGAAGCCAGAAAGTTGGATGAGGCACCTGATGTGACAGGGGTGCATGAGGATGAGGAAGGGGCTGCAGAGGGAGGCTGAGGTGAAGGGAGAAGCCAGACCTCAGCAGAGAGCTGGCCCGTGTCCTGAGGGCATGGGAAGTCGTGGAGGGGTTTCAGCAGGGAAGTGGTGTGAAACCCTGGTTCCTGGGTGCAGAGAGGATGGGAGGGCAAGATGTTGGCAGCTGTGTCCAGGGGTGGGGGGAGATGATGGCAGCTTGGACTGAGTGATGGTGGACGTGGGAGAAGTGGCCACATCTGTGAGCTATTAGAAAGCAGCGTTCAGAGGCCTTGGTGATGAAGTGCCTATCTGGAGCCAGTCTTTGTCCTGGGGCCGTCGGGCACTGTCACACAGGGATAGTGCTGGGAAAGGCAGGGGCGGGGGACTGAGGGGATTTGAGTGATCATATTTTGAGTGCTGAGCCCCCAGCCTGCTTTACCCTCTCAGCAGCAGACTGGAAAGGCTTCTCAGGAAAATGAGCCAGTGGAGAGGCAAAGACCAAAGCTGCTGTCACCAGGGGCTCTCCCATAGAAACTGCCAACCAGAAGACCTTAGGCCAGGCAAAACACGTCAGAAAGGGGTATCCATACACCCCAGCTTCCCATCAGCTTCTCAGTCTTTTTCCTCCTAAGTGAGCAGACATCCAAGATTTACGCGAGAAACATTCTGTTCCCAAAAAGGGCCAGGAACAGTGGCACACGCCTGTAATCCCAGCACTTTGGAAGGCTGAGGTGGGAGGATCCTTTGAGCCCAGGAGTTTGAGACCAGCCTGCACAACACAGTGAAACCTCATCTCTACAAAAAATTAGCCAGGTGTGGTGGCATGTGCCTGTAGTCCCAGCTATTCAGGAGCATGAGGCAGGAGGATTGCTTGAGCCCAGGAGTTTGAGGCTGCAGTGAGCCATGATTATGCCACTGCACTTCAGCCTGGGTGCAGAGCAAGATTCTATCTCAAAAAAAAAAAAAAAAAAAAAAAAGATCAAAGTGGACAAACAGAAAAATGTCAACTTGGACCAAAACCATGACTGTGTAAGGAGTCAAATACTTGCACTAAAATTTCCAGATTGGTAAGAGAAATTACTGCACCCAAGAAACAAGAACAGGAAGCTATGAAAAAAAAAGTGAAGGGGGATGGGAGAGAAAGGGTGAGCATTTAGAGAATAAAAAAGTACTCTTGGAAATTAAAAGCATAACAATAGAAATGAAAATAAACTTAATGGAAATGTTAGAGGGTAAAGTTAAAGAAATTTCCCTAAAAGAGCAAACGGAGAGATGAAAAATTGGAGAGAGAAAAGAAAAATAGAGAACCAGTCTTGCAAATGTAACATCCAAATAATAGAAATTTCAGAAAGAACAGAGGGAGAAAATCATCAATGAAAAAAAATCAGGTCTGGCATGGTGGCTCATGCCTGTAGTCCCAGCATTTTGGGAGGTTGAGGCAGGAGGACCACTTGAGCTCAGGAGTTCAAGACCAGCCTGAACAACATGGCAAGATTCTAATCTCTACAAAAAATTCAAAAATTAGCCAAGTGTGGTGGTGTGTACCAGCTATTCAGATGACTGAGGTGGAAGGATCCCTTGAGCGTGCAGGAGGCTGAGGCTGCAGTGAGCTATGATGGTGCCACTGCACTCCAGCCTGAGCAAAAGAGTGAGACCTTGTCTCAACAACAAACAAAAAACACATTCCGGAAGTGAAGAATTTCAATTTCTAGCTTCAAAGCACCACCAATTACCTGCAATATGATGAAAATACACTTACATCAGAGATCGATCCAAGATGGCCGACCACTAACAGCTCAGGATTGTAGCTCCCAGTGAAAGCCCAGAGAACGAGACGATGCCACACTTTTAGACGAATTTTCGTCACTCACCGATCAGCCGATTCCCAGTGGAGGAGCCCCACGGGTCGCCAGCGCGACTCTTGTGGCCGCCGCAGTGGTTTTGCCGGCGTCTCGGCGCAGCAGCTCTTCATGCAGAGCCAACGGGACTGCTTCCCCTACTGACCGGAGTTTGGAGCTCCGGAAAGTCAGAGCCGCTTGTTGCGGACTCAAGAAGGAAGCCAGACCGGAGATTCCCGGGCAGAAGAGCACCATCAGTCTTACCGCTGCTATTTAGGCTGCCACAGTGGGTTGCTCGGATCCCAACACTGGGAATCAATAAGTCGGACGTCGACTCAGAAAACTAATTAGAAAGGCGGTTCATCTACAATGAAGGGAAAAAAACAGCCTAAGAAGGCCGAGTATACTCAAAATCAGAACCCATCAGCAACAGAACAAGCCCTGATGGAAAAGGACTCATCAGCAGCAGAACAAGCCCTGATGGAAAAGGACTCATCAGTAACGGAACAAGCCCTGATGGAAAAGGACTGTGTTCCATTATCTGAAGTAGGCTTTAAAAGGTGGATGATAAGAAACTTCTGGGAGTTAAAGGAACTTGTTCTAACCCAATGTAAAGAAACTAAGAACTTGGAAAAAACATTAGATGAAATGTTGAAAAGAATAGACAATATAGAGAGGAATACAAATGAACTTATGGAGTTGAAAAATATAACACGAGAACTTAGTGAAACATGTACAAGCTTAAACAGCCGAATGGATCAAGCAGAAGAAAGGGTATCAGAGGTCGAAGATCAACTTAATGAAACAACACAACAAGACAAGAATAGAGAAAAAAGGATAAAAAGGAATGAGCAAAGTCTCCAAGCAATATGGGACTATGTGAAAAGACCTAATATACGCTTGATTGGTGTACCTGAATGTGACGGAGAGAATGAATTCAAGCTGGAAAATACTCTCCAGGACATTATCCAGGAAAATTTTCCTAATTTAGCAAAGCAGGACACTATTCAACCCCAGGCAATACAGAGAACACCACAAAGATATTCCTCAAGAAGACCAACCCCAAGGCACATAATCGTCAGATTCACCAGGATCGAAACGAAGGAGAAAATATTGAGGGCAGCCAGGGAGAAAGATCAAGTTACCCATAAGGGTAAGCCTATTAGGCTTACAGCAGATCTCTCAACGGAAACCCTACAAGCTAGAAGAGAGTGGGGGCCAATATTCAATATACTTAATCAACAGAACTTTCAGCCCAGAATTTCATATCCTGCCAATTTAAGCTTTACATTTGAAGGAAAAATAAAATTTTTTAGGAACAAGCAAGTACTCAGAGATTTTATTACCACCAGGCCTGCTTTACAAGAACTTCTAAAAGAAGCACTATACACAGAAAGGAACAACCAGTATGACCCTTTCTAAAAATACACCAAAAAGTAAAGAGCATTAACATAAAGAAGAATTTTTATCAATGAAAGGACAAAATAGCCAGTTAATATCAAACGGCAGCAACCCTAAACTTAAATCGACCAAATCTCCCAATCAAAAGATACAGACAAAATCTAACAGTATATCCAAAGATATACATAGACTCAAAATAAAGGGTTGGAAAAAAAAAAAAAAAGTACCAACCAAATGGAGAGCAAAAATAAATAAATAAGCAGGAGTTGCAATTTTCACATTTGACAAAATAGATTTCAAAGCTACAAGGATACAAGGATAAAAGGATTAATGTAATAATAAGAGATCTTAACACCCAGATACATAAGACCCATAATGAGATTTAGATTCAACGAGACAGAAAATTGATAACAATATCCGGGACTGGAACTAAGATCCAGAACAAATAAACTCAATAGGGCTCTCCATTTTAAACACACAAAATATTCATTATCCACAAAATCTAACGATATATCTAAAGATATACAAAGACTCAAAACAAGGGGATGGAAAAAAGCTCACCAACCAAATGGAGAGCAAAAATAAATAAATAAAAAGCAGGAGTTGCAATTCTCACACTTAATAAAATAGATTTCAAAGCTACAAGGATGCAAGGGTAAAAGGATTAATGCAACAATAAGAGATCTTAACACCCAGATACATAAGACACATAATGAGATTTAGATTCAACGAGACAACAAATTGATAAGATATCCAGGACTTGAACTCAGAACCAGAACAAATAAACACAACAGAGGTCTCCATTTTAAACACATAAAATATGCATTAACCACTTTAAACACTCAAAATATTGATCGGCCATTATTGAAACCCATTTTAGGAATGAAGTAATATTCCTTTTTCCCTCTTTTTCTTTTTTTCCCCTTCTTTTTCTCTTTTTCCCTAAAAATAAATAAATAAATAAATAGATCAGGGCAGATAACATTTTAGTAAGAAAGCAGGCAAATACACACAGGTATGATAATAATGAGTGTTTAGAGAAAGGAGAAAGTAAATAGTTAAGCTTGCCTTAAACATAAACTACAAAGGTCAAAAATAAACTTGAAATGAATGATTATGAATATAAAAAAAAATATTGATAATCAGCATCACCTACTCCCCCCTTGACAAAAAAAAAAAAAAGAAAAAGAAAGAAAATACACTTACATCAAAACATGTCGCCATGAAATGTTAGACCTCTGGGAACAAAGATAGTTTCTAACACAAGCGTACAAAATCAGTAACTGGAATGGCTTTGAACCTCTCAACAGCAATATTGGAAACTGGAACACAGTGAGAATTGCATTCAAAATACTGAAGAAAAATAATTTACAACCCGCAGCCTAACTATGAATCAGTATGGGGAGTGAGAATAAAGATGACATTTTCTTTTTTTTTTGAGACGGAGTTTTGCTCTTGTTACCCAGGCTGGAGTGCAATGGCGCGATCTCGGCTCACCGCAACCTCCGCCTCCTGAGTTCAGGCAATTCTCCTGCCTCAGCCTCCTGTGTAGCTGGGATTACAGGCACGCGCCACCATGCCAAGCTAATTTTTTGTATTTTTAGTAGAGACGGGGTTTCACCATGTTGACCAGGATGGTCTCGATCTCTTGACCGTGTGATCCACCCTCCTCGGCCTCCCAAAGTGCTGGGATTACAGGTGTGAGCCACCCCACCTGGCCTGAATAAAGACATTTTCAAACAACCCAGGTTCCAGAACATTTACCTCCCATATACCCTTCATCAGGAGACCACCTGATGAGCAGTGGCTTGAAATGTTGCCTGCATATCAACACCATTATGCAAGCCAGGTATGGTGGTTTGCATCTGTAATCCCAGCTACTCAAGAGGCTGAGGTGGGAGAACTGCTTGAGGCCTGACATTCAAGATCAGCCTGGACAACACAGTGAGACCCCATCTCAAAAAAAAAAAATCCACAAAAAAACAAAAACAAAACCATCGTGTGGCACTTTAAAAATAATAGTCGGGGCTGGGTGTGGTGGCTTACACCTGTAATCTCAGCACTTTGGGAAGCCAAGGCAGGAAGATGATTTGAGGTCAGGAGTTCCAGACCAGCCTGGCCAACATGGCAAAATCTGTCTTAACTAAAAATACAAAAATTAGCCGGGCATGGTGGTGCATGCCTATAATCCCAGCTACTCAGGAGGCTGAAGTGGGAGGATGGCTTGAACCCAGACAGTGGAGGTCTCGGTCAGCCGAGATCATACCATTGTACTCCAGCCTAGGCAACAAGAGTGAAACTCCATCTCAAATAAAAATAAAAATAGATAAAGCTACCTCCCAAGAAGTGGCAATGCAAGCATGTTCTTTAGTGACACAGAGGTAAACATGAGAGAATCACCTGCAAAGTTGAAAGTCATTGCCTTTGGGGACCAGAGGGAGCTGGGGCTTCCGACTTTCTCAACAAGCCTTATAGAACCAGTTGACTCTTAATCAGGAGATCAGCAAACTTTTTCTCTAAGGGGACAGATCGTAAATATTTGACACAAGACCAGCTACGTAATTGGCAGGGCCCAGTGCAAAATGAATATGTGGGGCCTCTTGTTCAAAAAGTATGAAGAATTTCCAGAAGGTGACACCCAGGGTGGGGCCCTTCAGAATGCAGGCCCTTGGGTGTGACTGCGCAGGTCACATGCCCTGGCTTCAGGCTTTCCAGGCCACATGGACTCTGTCCCATCTACTCAACTCTGCCATTGTACCACGAAAGCGGTCACTGACAATAGGTAAATGAACCAGCGTGGCTGTGCTCCAATAAAACTTTGTCAGCAAAAACCGGTGGTGGGTTGGACTTGGCCCACTGTCCATAGTTTTCTGACCTCTGCCTATGAGCATATATAACTAATAAAAATAAATAAAATCATTTTCATCAGGAAGAGAAAATGCAGATGAATAATCAAGAATGTTTTGGAACCCAGGCACAGTGACTCATGTCTGTAATCCCAGCACTTTGGGAGGCCGAGGTGAGTGGATCACTTGAATCCAGGAGTTTGAGACCAGCCTGGGCAACATGGCGCAACCCTATCTCTACATAAAATACAAAAATTAGTGGGCATGGCGGTGCGCACCTTTAATCCCAGCTACTTGGGAGGCTGAGGTTGGATGCTTGAGCCAAGGAGGTGGAGTTCGCAGTGAGCCGACATTGCACACTGCACTCCATCCTGGGCAAGGAAGCAAGACTCTGTCTCAAAATTTTAAAAAGGACATTTTAAAAGACAGCAATGAGTAGGGAGTTTCTCTTACAGCTAACAAGACAGACTCCAAAGCTAAGGAATGAAAACGATGGCGCATTGGGTCAGGATTTGCTATGCCAGCCAGTGGGAACGGAGACCAGGAAGGGGGCAGTGAACATCCAAGGGATCAGTAAGCAGTAAAGCGGGACGGAAGGAAGGGAGGAATCCTTACTCGACACTGAGACGGGGCTGGGAAGGCGCTGGCCCAGAGCTCAGGAGCCACAGGTGAGATGCTGGCCGGCACAGATGTCCGCCTGGCCCCCATGGAAAGTCATCGAACATGGGCTCAGCCCAAGGGAAAAATCTCTCTCAGACCAGTGGTTGTCAACAGGAGAGGGGACACCCAAGTTTCTCTTCAAAGAATCAGTATGTCAGTATGTTCAGCTCTCTTATTCTTTCTTTATTTTAAAGTTTAACTTCCTTGTAATTTCAGTAAACAACGTTCCCCACCGGTTCTAATCAGTAGTTCACATCTGTTCCCCTGGTCCCTGGCTCCATCCTGACTCATCCCGGTCACCTGCTCTAGTCACCTGTTCCGGTTACCTTCTTTGACCTAGGTCATCCCTGGCTACGTGCTCTGACCCGCCTGTAACCATCCTTCCTGCCAAAACACCCACCCTGCCACTTCAGTTCGGATCCCTGCTCTCTTTAAAATAGCCAATCGGGATTAGCTTAGCTTGTGCAGTCTAACCCTAGCAAATAGGGGAACAACACAGCAGTAGAGACCACCCCCATCAGGCATAAATACCCCTCCCCGCCTTCTCCACGTGTGCCCCCACCATTGCTCCATCCGTTAGCCACACCCTTCTATAGAAATAAATTACCTTGCTGAGAGGATTTATCTTCGAGTGCTAGTTCTTTTGCAGCATCGAAATTTTACTTATAACAGCACCCCAAGTGCACTGTCACATCTGGGTGGTGGGTGCTACCCATGACTGGGTGTCTCACAGATGAGGACCAAAGATGCTGCCAAATACCCTACAAAGCACAGGACATCTACACACCCACAACAGGTAACGTAATTATCTAGTCCAAAACGTCAGTAATGCCAAGGGTGAGAAACTCTCTCTAAACAAAATTCTACTCCTCGCAAACCTCTGACCTATTGCCTTCGCCCCAGGCATGCCGGGCCTGGTCTAGCCTGCCAGGAGTTACTGGGACTTTCCACCTCAAGCTCCTGGAGGTGGAAACTATGCCACCTACCCTTCCTGCCCAGGAACTTTCTCCACTGACCTGCCCAGACCCTGGGCTTCAGCACCGCTATTCTCTCTGCCCACACTCCCCACCCTGGGCAGGCCCTCCCTTGGCACAGGACAGGCTGCTGGCCCCGAACGCTGGGAACATTCCTGACCTTTGCTTTGGTTTCCTCCAGCTCTTGGCAGCTTCTTGCTGGCCCTCGATGCCCATGACCCTGGGCCAACTCGCTGAGGCATCCATTGTTACCTCTGCCCCTCTGTGTCAGGCTGGCTCCATCTTTGTGCCCTCCCTTGGGGAGCCCTGCTAGGTGCTCTCATCTCCCATTGGGCTATTGAGGGGAAGGTGCCAGCTCAAAGTGAATGTGGGGCTCCTCTGGCCTGCTTTGGGCCTGCCCTTGGTCTGCTGTGGCCCCAACCTGCGGTCCCACCCAGATGGGAGGGAATGTGGACTCCTTTGGAGCTTTAAATGGAAGCGGGGCGGCCTGTGCTCTCCCCTCCTCCTCCTCCCTGAATGAACCCACAGTGACCTTGAACAAGGCCCTTCCCCCATCTCTCTTGGAAATGCAAAGAAGCTGTGCCTCTGCGGCACTCAGAACGGGTGTGGTGGGAAGGCAGCGGGAGCCTGTGTGGGGGGAGGGCGCACCACTATGCAGATTGTGTGAAGTGCCTTCCCCTCCCCAGCCAGGAAACGCCCTCCCAGCGGGCCTCGAGTCTTCCTCGGGAAGGAGGGAGTGTTCTCCGCAGCCTCACTTTTCGAGGCCCTGAAGCCAGCAGAGAAACTCACAGGGTTTTGTCCTTGAGTCAGAAACTGGCCTTGGCAGAGAAGCCTGAGGCTCTCTCCGCTGCCAGCCCAGAGCTGAGAATCCCTAAGTGTGGTTCTGGAAGCTTCAGCTCTGGCCAGCGGGGGCTCTTCCCTGTTTAGGCCAAGGGCTCTGTGCCTGGATGGAGGGGAAAAGAGGGCAGGAACAGGTGCAAGAGATGCATCGTGGCCCAGAGAAGGCAGCCTGTGCTCTGTCCTGCTCCTGTGTAACCTCCAGCCATATGCTGAACTCGGAGCCACAAGCTCCCAGCTGGGAAAATCCCAATGCTCTTTGTATGAGGGTCAGGAAAAGCCTGCGGCCAGTGACTGGGGCCAGCCAACCTGCTGGCAGCAGCATCCCCTACATGGCCAGGGGGACATGACAGAGAGCGCCTGGGTGGGCCCTGGCTCTCACCTGTTACTTAGGACCTCTGTGGCCCTGGGAGGTGTCCCCACCTATCTAAGCTGACACAGCAATGGGACAGGTGGGGACACCTTGTCTGGGGCTCAGCACAGTCCCTACCACAGACTGAGTTCCATTGGGACAGCAAATCCTAGGTCTGAGGCGCCCACATTCCAGACACCCCAAGCCAGGGCACGGAAAGAGCCTCTTCCTCCTGGAGTCCTACTGCTCAGGCTTCTGGCTCCATGGACTGGGCCCCTTGGGGTCCCTGGTGACTTAGGAAGCAGTTAACCCCTTCCCTCCTCCGCTGCAGGGAAGTCTGAGGACCTAGTGGTTCCATTCAAACTTCTTGCTCAGGGTCTTATTGGGACCTGCATCCAGGGCCCACCCTAGCCCTGGGGCTCTGGAAACAGATGTGAACAGCAAATGCTGAGCAGCTTGCCTTGCTCAGGCTTCCGAGCCTCCTCCTGACAGTGTGAGTGTCACCACCCCTGCTACTGGAACCCAATCCACCTCCCCTTCCCCTGCTGTAGGGACGGGAGCTGGAGCACGCTTCCGCCTCCCGGGTCACAGGAGCATTAAAAGCAATCAGCCCAGGAAACTGCAGCGTTTCCTTCCTTTCTCACCAGCCCATCCGGGCTTGCCCTGTGAAGACTGCAGCTTCTGAATGTGGGAGGGAGACCACTGCAGGCAGGGGGCTTCCAGGCTTGGGACACCTGGGCATTCCTGGGCCAGGTCCATGCACCCTCCCACTCTGAGACCCCCTAGGGAATGACTGAGGGGCCCCTGCAGGGCTGCCTGTCAGCAGTTCCCAGACCCTCTCCTTGGGGCTAAGGGAGCAATGTCCTTCTCTACAACCAAGGGGGTGGGGAGGAAGAGGAGCAGCTCCCTCCTCCCCTCTGTCCACCGGGTCCCCTCACCCTCCCTTTTATCAACATGAGGAAGGTGGCCTGAGACTCAGCCGAGGAGCTTCCTTGGTCCTGAAATCAGAGCAAAGTAGCTGGATCTCCCCCACCAAGAATCACCTGCCCCTCCCAGGCCTGAGCAGAGCTGGGGGCAGGAGGAAATGCGGTTTCTCCATGGCCAACTGCTCAGCTACTGCTCCCCATGCCACTGCCACCAGCCCCTCCCTCACTAAGGGGCCTCTTGCACCTCCCTGGTCAAATCCACTTTGAGAAAAGTGCCCGACAAACCTGCAACTCAGAAGCCAAATGGGACCTATCGCAGGCAGGTCCACTGTGATGGTAGCCCTCACACCCAAAATAGAAGGGTAAGTTGACCCCTCTCACTCCCTAAATCCATGTAGCTGCCCTTAGCCCAACAGGTCTTGGGGCAGGAGGGTGGGGGTAGGAGCACCTGGGGGTCGGGGCTGGCTCCAAGTGCTGCAGAGTCGAGTGTGAGTTCTGGAGTCAGACTCAGATCCTGCTCCTTAGCTGCGTGACCTTGGGCGAGCCGCTCAGCCTCTCTGAGCCTCAGGCTCCTCCTCTGTAAGTGGAGCTGTTGGAGGGATGAACTGAGATACACGGGGCAAGGTGCCTGGAACCGTAAACAGCACCTGCTGCTCCGACTGAGCGGCAGCTGGAGATGAGGGGGACTTACAGGCCCAACGCCTTATCAGCAGGAGGGGCCCTGGCCCTGTACAAAGAGAACCCTGGGACGCTGTCCTGGGTCCAGTTGCAAGACCATCCTGCCTGCTTATGGGGCGTGCTGAGGCAGAGCTCCCTGGATTGTGCTCTGGAGAGCATCGGGCCCTCTCTGCTCACTGCTGGCGGTCGGGGCCAAGTCCTCAGAGAACTCAGATCAAAATCTGAGGGCAGCCTTGCTGGGTCTCAGCTTTCAGAATTGATTTCTTTCGAAGAACAGGAGGTATGGCTAGGCCAGCTGGAAGCGGCTGCAGCCAGAGTCCCCCAGGGCACCATGATGGGTGATTGATGGTAGGAGCTGTGCCTCCGGGCCAGCCCCACAAGCTCCATTCCCTGCCATGGCTCAGACAGGGAACTCCCTGCCATTCTTGGGTGGACCCTGAAGCACCCAGTCCAGGCTCCTTGTTCAGCCTCTCGGCTGGCTCAGCAGATAGATACTATTAGCCCATTTCACAGATGGGACGTGAGGTCCAGAGAGGTCCTGCTCCGTCTGAGCTGGGATCAGATCCTACCCCATGACCTCTGCCAAGGTCTAGGCCCTCTTACCGTCCAACGGGGTCCCTGTCGGTGTCCTCAGCCTCTGCCCTCCAGACCCCAGGTAGCCTGGAGCTCTGCAGATCAGAGAGCCTAGTGCTGGGAGCCTGAGCCCATGCCCCTAGAAGCCCCCAGCCCAGGGGTCCCCCAAGGCTGAACAGCAAGCTCAGGATCATCTTGGTGGTGGGGCAGGCTCAGTACACGCTCAGCCTTGGCAAGTGGCTCCAGAAACTGCTAGTGACGTTGTCTTCTAGTTAAATCTCAGGAGGAAAAGAAAATACCAGGACAACAAAGAGAGGAAGTGGCGTGGGCCGGCCCACCCGATGGGTCTCGTCCGGCCCCCTGATCACCCCGCTGGCCCTACAGGGGCTGCCAACCACACAAGCCAATTCCTATCCCTGAGGATTTGGCTCAGGGACTCTGGGGATGTGGTAGACAAAGGGGGTGGCCCCACTAAATGCAACCTTGTGGGACCCTGCCCCCTGGGAGTCAGGAAAAGAACGTGGACTTCGAAGTGGGGCTGCAGGAAGTGGTCAAATCCATTTCAGGGGAACTGCTGCCCATCCACGCTGCTGGCCAGGAAGTGGGGGGCACTCCATGCCTCCTCAGCACCTTCAGCACTGGGCTGTGGGGGCCAGCAGTGGGTCGAGGCTCAGAGAACGGAAGGGGCTATTCTGGGGTCACAGCATGCAGGCAGAGATCAGGGCATGGGGAAGCCCTTTGTTTCCCCATCCCCACCCCCTTGCATCTCTGCTCCTCCAACTGGTTTCACGGGAGCCCAGGGTCTAGCAGCATCCAAGATGCTGGTGGGTAGCTGCACAGCCCAGGCTGCTGGACGGTGGCCACTCACCTGACAGGCCTGTGTGGTCCTGACCCCTACCTAGGATGCTGGGGACATTGGCCAAGGTGCCTCCCCTCTCTTTGCCCGTCGGTCTAGGTGTAGCATAGACACAGCATCCCGGGACCCAAGAGTACCCAGCCAGGGCTGCCCCCATGAGTGGGCAGGGGCAGGGCAGCAAATGAATAGGGACAGGGATGGGTCGGGAGGTGGCCAGCCCCTGGAGGGCAGGGGGCAGGAGAGCTGGGCTGAGCCCGCAAGAGCCCAGGGAGCCTGGTCTCTGCTTTCCTTTCCTGGAGGAAGGTGAGGGTGAGCGAGCCTACCTCCCTCCCACCCTCCCCGCCCCCAACGCGCGCGCGGGGCTGGCTGGGCTCCAGCTGGCCTCCGCATCAATATTTCATCAGCGTCAATAGGAGGCAGCCGGGACAGCGCTGCGGCAGCACTCGCGCCAGCTCAAGCCCGCAGCTTGCAGGGAGATCCAGCTCTGTCCTGCCCGCAGCAGCCCAGCCCTGCGCATCACCATGGACGTCTTCAAGAAGGGCTTCTCCATCGCCAAGGAGGGCGTGGTGGGTGCGGTGGAGAAGACCAAGCAAGGGGTGACGGAAGCAGCTGAGAAGACCAAGGAGGGAGTCATGTATGTGGGTAAGTGGGGCATGGCAGGGTGGGACAGTGCGGTAGCCAGAGGGCAGGGTGCCCAGTTACCTTCGCCAGATCTTACTCCCCAGCCCCAGGGAGGCATTTTTGGAGGGGGCGAAGCTTTGGCTGTCAAGGTGGGGTCTCTAGACCCTGGAGCACCCACAGTGCCCCGTGCACACTTAGGTGTTTGTTTCTGGCCTCCTCAGGGCCTCTGGGTGTCAGAGACTGCAGACAGGGCTGGCTTTGTGCATGCACAAAGACTCACCCAAGCACACTAGGTTCCCCTGAGCCTGGAGTCCCTGAAGCCATGAGCACCCTGGCGCTCAGGCGGCCCCCACCCTCTCCAAACGGAAGCCACTGCAGCCAGGCCATGGGACCCACCCTACCCAGAGAGAAGGGGTGGGCTGGGGGATGAGACCCAGGCTCAGGGTTCCCTCCCGCCTGATACCCTCCTGGCTCCCTCTGAGGAAGAGGAAGGGAAGATCAAGCTGATGACTCAGCTCTCTGCCGTCCAGTCCTATTGCTGCTTCCGAGGCCTGGCCACACCCAGGCAGGGGCTGGACCCTCAGGCTGGGTCTCTCTTGTCCCCCCCCCCCGCCCCCCCTCCCCTTCTGTCCCCTTCCTATACAATCATTTCCTCTAGACACAGCAGGAAGTGGTCCTCTGAATGGGCCACCGGCCCCCAGACACCATCCTCACTCCCCTGCGACCCTGCAGCTTGTCCAGCTGTTCTGTTGTGTTTGTCCTGACCGCCCCCAACACCTGGAGCCGGGTCTGGGCTGACGGCTCCATTTCCTCCCCAGGAACCAAGACCAAGGAGAATGTTGTGCAGAGCGTGACCTCAGGTAAGGAACCCCGGGGCCCGGGGCCAGGGGACATGGGGTAGGCCCCCTGGGGCTCCTGCATCCTAGTGCGAGGGCTCCAACCTAGAGTCCTCCCTTACTCCCAAACTGGCGTACCAAGCCCTACAGACCCCTGCAGACCATGAGGCTAAACTAGAGTCGGCATCCCCTTCCCCTCACCAGCATCAGAGCTGCCCTGGGGTCAGAGGGAGCCGGGGCGGTCCCAGCAGAGCCAGGGCTCTGAGCTCCTGGGAAGGAACTGCGCGCCCGACTCCGGCAGGCCTGCCTCGGGGCCGGGGCGGAGGCCAGCCAGTGTCCTCCCACAGTGGCTGAGAAGACCAAGGAGCAGGCCAACGCAGTGAGCGACGCCGTGGTGAGCAGCGTCAACACCGTGGCCACTAAGACCGTAGAGGAGGCGGAGAACATCGCGGTCACCTCCGGGGTGGTACGCAAGGTGAGCCCCGGCACTCAGACCCACTCCCGGGCCCAGAGAGGCCGCTGGGGGAGACGGCATCACCCCACTCCACATCCCAGTAAACAAGATGCGGGGTCGAGGGCTGGCTTCAGTTTCAGCATCCACTGAACGCCGGCGTGGGGTGGGGTCCCTGCTTGCTGTTTGACCTGCATTCGGGTCTGGAATCCCCACGACCACCCCTTGGCGGGGGGGCGGGGGGGGACTCGGGGTCCCATCTCATAGACAAGGAAAGTGAGGCTCAAAACCACACCTTCTGGACGGCTCTCAGCATTTAGGAGACGCCACATCTTATAAGTGAAAACAGGGTCCCACAGGGTGACAGGCAGCCTCCCGGCCAGTGGTCGCCCGGCCAGAGCTGAGTCACACCCGCCCCCAGCACCCAGCCTTTCTCCCTGTGCTGGGCGGGGCTGCTGCCTCCTCCTGGGAGCCGCAGGGAAGCAGCGTCCCCTGGTGGTGGGAAAGCAGAACTGGGTCTGACCCCACCCTCTGCCTCTGCCTGTGTATGTGTGTGTGCACGTGTTGAGTGTGCATTTATATGAGAATGTGTGTGGGTGTGTATGAGTGTGAACGTACACGTGTGTGTGCGGTCCAACAGCAGACAGCACAGGAGCAATGGGACGCTCCCCAGGGACGGGTGTTGGCCAGGTGAACTGTCCCTGCACCTGTGACACAGCAAGCTCTGCCTTGCACATCTTAAGCTTGTTAGTTCATTTAATAGACAGAAAATCCCATGAGACAGGGTGTGGAAACTAAGGCCCAGGGAGATTAATGTGCCACTGGCCCATGGCTAGTTCATGTGAGCTTGGAATTCTGAGCAGCCTGTGCTCTGAGAGACCCTGTGGCATCGTTAAGTGATAACCTGGGCTAGAATTCCCACCTGGGGGTAGAGAGTGGGAGCAGTGTCCAGCTCTCCTACCTGCTGCAGGCCTCCTGGGTAGTGAATTCCAGGCTCCCAGCACTGAGAACCTCTGTGTTGGGAGTGAGTGGGTGGAAGCGTGGGGGGTACCCTACTCCTCCTGGCTCTGGGACGATGCCCAGGTGTCTGCTTCCAAGGCCAGCACAGGGTCTTCATGTCCTTGGAGCCGGCAACTGCTCCCTCCCCTAGTTCCCCTTCTTTGTTGTATGAACTTGAGAAGCAAAAGAACCTCTCTGGGCCTCCATGTCCTCATCTGCAAGAGGCGGGTGAGCGTGTCAGTCTCCCTGGGCTGTGTGATGAGGCAGGGCCATGACCCCCATGAAGTGATTCTCCTGGCCCATGTGAGCACCCAGCAGAGGAAGGTGACCATCATCATCATCAGTGCCCTGGGCAGAACACATAGAGTCCCAGGAAGCCCTTCCTTCCCCACCCCCAGCAAAAGAGGCCCTAGGATGAGGGTGCCCACACTCTCAGTGAATCCTGGAGGGGGCTAGTGAGCCCTTGGAGCCACCTCAAGGGAGACTCATTTCCTGGTGACACCCAAAAACCAGTGATGACTCATCTCCCAGTGAACCATGAAAGGCCTCAGCAGAGATGGTCTGACTGCTCATGCCCCTGCCCTCATCACCAGCTTTAGGGTGGCAGGACTTGACAGGTGGTACCTGCCCTGCCCATGGAGAGCCTGGCCGACTGTAGCCAGCACAGCACTGCCCTTCTCTGCCCCACTCCGCCGAGGGGCAGGATGCCCCTGGGGTAACGCAGAGGTGGCAGGACTTTCCAGAGGCAGGTGCTGAGGCCAGTGGTGTCCAGGCCAATCACGAGTCTGGTCCTACACACCCAGCTGTCGTGGCCTCTCACACAAATGTCTGGCTGGCATGGAATGCAGGAGACAGAAGACGAAGTGGGAGAGGGTTGTGTAACCTATGCTGGCCCTGACCAGACTGAGCCTAGAGCCTGTCCAGGAGGCAAGGAGAGGAACTCATGCTTCTGGAAACTGGAGTGGGCCTGGAGCAAGCCTGACCTGATGCCCACACCCCCCACCACTTTGAGCTTGGAGGCCCTGAGCTGCATGCCAAGCCTCTGTGGCCTCAGAGTCTCTATGTAAACCCCAATCAGCCTTCCTTATAGGGCTACTGAGGGTGGGGTCCCATCTGGGGCTTCAGGGGCCTCTGCCCACCCTCACCCCCACTCCACCCACCCCACCCAGGTTCCTCATCAATGGAGACCAACTAGGGGTTTCCCAGAGATTGGGGACCAGCTTGAAGAGTGAAGCTAGGCTCCAGGGTACTTGGTACCCCTGGAAGGCCTCGGCATCATCAGACAGAGCCGAGCCCAGATATTGCCTGAACTGCCTGTTCCCAACACCTCCAGCCCCTCCAAGTACAAGGCCATGAGGGGCTTCTGCTCCTTTTTGAGGCCAGGGTGGACAAGGCCCTGGTTGCAGGCAGCTAGGGGTCTCTGCATTTTCTACATGGTCTCAGGTCCCCTTTTCTCCCCTTCAGGAGGACCTGAAGCCATCTGCTCCCCAACAGGAGGGTGAGGCTGCCAAAGAGGAAGAGGAAGTGGCAGAGGAGGTAGGAGCTGAGCTCCTGGGGTACACCATGGAGGGTTCCTGGGTAGGGACCGCATGTCCCACAGACTCACTGCTTCCTTCCAGAGCCCACAGGGGCCTCCTGACCTTCTGTAGCCTCCACAGGGACTGTGGGCAGGGCTAACCTTGAACCTGAGTGGGAGGTCCCCACACGATGACCCTTCAGGCATGGGGCACAGAGGACAACCTTTCCCAGCCCAGTCAGGGTGGCACCTGAGGATTGGGGCCTGGAACTGTGTGTGCAGGTCATTCTCTCTCCCAGGCCCAGAGTGGGGGAGACTAGAGGCTGCAGGCCAGCACGGATGCCCCGAGGAGCGCTCCTCTGCCTTGGACACCATCCCCTTCCAGCACAAGGAGTGCCTGCCTTGAGTGACCTGCAGCTGCCCACGCTTCTGCCCTCATGTCTGACCACCCCTGGCCTGTCACCTGTGCTGCTGCACCTACCTCACTGCCCTCCCTCGGCCCCGCCCACCCTCTGGTCCTTCTGACCCCACATATGCTGCTGTTAATTTTTTTTTATGATTCCAAATAAAACTTGAGCCCACTCCTGCCATGCTTCCTCTTGGTGCTGTGTAGCTTGAGAAGGGATCCCCAGGCCTCCCCAGGAAGAGGAGTAGATTCAGCCTGTTGATAGGACGAGGTACACTATGGGACACACACAGGGCATTCATGGGACCTGTGTGAACAGGCACTGCCTTCAGGAATACCCCCAACCCACCCATTGCCTTTAACATGGAGGAGGTGGCACTGCCTTTGGCTCCCCAAGACATTCAGCAGGGCTCACAGACCCATCCACAGGGACAATTTAGCTCAGCCTCGAAGTGGCCCCTGCCTGTCTGCTCTGCGTCCCTTAGGAACCTTCTGTCAGCAGGAGGTGAAGATGGGCTTTTGGGCCCAGTGTGGCACAGGGAACGGGGCCACCTAACATCCTCCCTGGGGCAGACAGTAACTTTCAAATATGGAGAAGTCTAAACCTAGTGAGGATGAAGGGCATACCCCAGCAGAGACAAGAGGTGACCTTGCGGTGCCTCCCTCCTGGCCCCACCCAGCCTCACGCTCCCCACAGGATCTGGAGCTAGGTACCCCCTGCACCCCTCCTGCACCCAGAAGCCTGTCAGGTACCACTAAAATCACAACAGACGCACGAGACGAGGCCACATCTTGAAAGAAAAATTAAAAGCAACAGCTGCTGATCTCTTCGCAGGTGTTGACTGGGCCCTGTTCTGAGCACTCGACCTTATTCAATCCTCAGAACAAACCTCTTAGGTTGGAGCTGTAGATCCAGGTTTTGCTGAGAAGCACAGGACTGGGCAGAAGCCCAGGTGGCCCCAGCCCTGCTATGGCCACAGGGACTGCATGGGCCCCTGGGTGCTTACAATGGATCGCCCCCCACCCAACCCAAAGTTTCAAAACAACCCTGGGCCTGCTGGCCAGTGTCCTACGTGAAGGACTGTTTGCGTTGTGCCTAGCAGGCTTGTTCAGAGTGGGCTGAGCAAACAGCCCCACCGGCCAGGGTTGTTTTGAAATCTGGAGCCTGCAGGCTTGTTCAGACCAGGGTTCCCTGCGGATCCCACCTTCCCCTTTGATACTCAGACGGTGTGGGCTCAGAGCATCTCAGTGACTTGCCCCAAGCCTCCGGACCTGGGTTTTGGAGCCAGAGCTTAAGTACATCCACAGGTGACTTCAGACACTGCCCTGTCCACAGCACCTCCCCATCCAGCCTCCGCAGTAGGTTCAAGGGGAGCCCAGTCAGGCCTAGCTGAGCTGAGCTGTAGCTGTTGTCTAGCCATGGACATCCACTGGGAAGGCAGAAAGGAACAGGGGGCTGCTGGTCTCCACACCCCCAAACCGTGTCACGGGCAGGCAGGAAGGGTCTGGAAGCAACTCAGGACACTCAGGGCTGTTCCTGCTCCCCAGCCCAGACACGTGCACATAAGCAGGCCTGTACGAACCCCAGGAGGAGGGCACCTGGGCCTGGGTGTGCCCAAGAGTCCTCTGGGCTGTGAGAGAAAGCAAGGAGGGGCAAGGCTGGTCAGGTGATGGGGTGAGGGAGAGGGCTCCTATGCCCAGCTCCCAGCGACAGCCTTCCCCAGGCTCCAGGGCCCTCTGCCTCTGCTGAAGAACCCCGGAGGGGGTCCCTGCTGCGCCTACCACAGACCCCCCGAAACCCCCCTCACACACACTCAGGGCTTGTTCCTGGACTCAAACATCACCAGGAAGCCCCTTCCCAGCTGTGGGCACAGCCAGTGCTCTTTGCCTTTGAACCCTCATGTGCTCTGCGCCCTGTGAGGCTGCCTCTGACCTCCCTGCAGGAGCACGATCTACTCCCCTTATCCACAGGGATACACCCAAGATGCTCCCAGATGCCTGCAACCCCAGACAGTACCGAAGCCTACATATCACGGATCTTCCTACACATACATCCCTACGATAAAGTTTATACATTAGGCACAGTAAGAGACTAACAATAACAAATAAGGAAATGGAACAGTTTTATAACACACTGTAATAAAAGTTATTTAAAATATGAATTGTTTTTTTCTGGAATTTTTTTTTTTTTTGACATGGAGTCTCACTCTGTCATCCAGGCTGGAGTCCAGTGATGTCACCTCTGCTCACTGCAACCTCTGCCTCCCAGATTCAAGTGATTCTCCTGCCTTAGCCTCCCAAGTAGCTGGGACTACAGGCGTGTAGCACCACGCCCAGCTAATTTTGGTATTTTCAGTAGAGACAGGGTTTCACCATGTTGGCCAGGCTGGTCTCGAACTCCTGAGCTCAAGTGATCTGCCTTCCTTGGCCTCCCAAAGTGCTGGGATTACAGGTGTGAGCCACCACACCCAACTATTTCTGTAATTTTCCATTTAACATTTTGGACCTTACTGATTGTGGTGTGGGGGCCAAGGGAAAACTTCCCCTTTACCCTTTGAAGGTTGACTGAAAAGACAGCTCACAAAAGCAGGTTAGGAAAAATGGAATACGCATTCATTAGTGTGTGCATTCCATTTAGAATGTGAATTCCATTTTCCATGAGGAGGAAATCAGGGTGACTGCGCCACCATGAAATGGGGTATAGATGAGCAACAGGGAAGTGTGGATGATTTTAGGGGGCTAGTAAATCATTTTTAGGGGAATTCAGTGGGCTTGAAGAGCGTATAGTGGCCTCGGACAAAGACTGTTGGGCTCACGGAGCGACAACAGTTGGCAAAATCTGTCAAGGTATGTGAGCAGGCTGCAGTCTTTCTTCCTGTGACATAAGTTGTCAGAGAAAACTCTGGGAAAGGACCAGGGGTCACTGTTTTCTTCTTTGGTGGGTCCAGATTTTAGGCAGATGGGGAACTTCAGAGAACAACTTCACCATGTGCTTCGAAAGAGACAAAGCGTTAAGGGAACTGGGGGAGTCTGGTCAGAGAGACCTTAAGGCTTCTTCAGTTCAGAATGTCACAGCATCATACTTTGGGGTATTGGTTTCTGAGCCCCAATAGTGGGTAACTGCAGAAAGTGAAGCAGCAAATTAGCTGGGTGTGGTGGTGGGCGCCTGTAATCCCAGCTATTCAGGAGGCTGAGGCAGGAGAACTGCTTGAACCTGGGAGGTAGAGGTTGCAGTGAGCCAAGATTGTGCCATTGCACTCCAGCCTGGGCAAGAAGAGCAAAACCTTGTCTCCAAAAAGAAAAAAAGTGAAACCGCAGCAAAGGGGGTCCATGGTAACACCATGGCCGTCTGCCCCCACTCGTCTGAGAAGCACCAGTGCCCTGCACCCTCTCACAACATCCACTGCTGAGTGCTGGGCACCCTTCAGCCCATTTACTCTTCACAACACACTTTGGGGAGATGCTGTGATGTGATGGGGATGTTGAGGCTCATAACTTGTCCTAAGGGTGTCTGAACCCAAGAAGTCTGACTGCAGTGCCTACAGCTAGAGCCACGATGAGCTGTCTCTATCATCATCTGCTGGGGCTGGCTGTCCCTCCCCATGGAGGCTGTCCAGCTCATTGCCCATGGGACCTGGAGCACAGTGGCACCAGCAGCCTGTGATAAACAGGAGCACACAAAGGCCTGCCTGGCTATCAGGCGCTACCAGTGGGATTTCAGGAAGGCTGGCAGGGCTGCAGCTGGCTGGGCAGGGCAGGGCTGAGTTGGGCTCCCGAGTCTCCCAGGCATTGATCTGGCCACTTCCAGGGCAGGGCCAAGCTCTAGGCGAGAAGGGGTGGGGGCTAGGAGGACCATCGCTGCTGCTGCTTTGTTTTGTCTGAGACCTGCTCCCTCCCTTCCTCCACCTAATCTCGCTTGCCTCTTCCCCTTGCCCAGGGTTGACCTCATCTCCATTAATCTATAGCCAGCGTGTGTGTGTGTGTGTGTGTGTGTGTGTGTGTGTGTGTGTACAGGCGCACTTCCAGGCATCCCCCTCTAGGGGCCAACCCCACACCACTAGAAGCAGGGCATGTGCCAGCAGAGCAGGGCTGTGTGGCAGAGGCTCCTCAAAGCTCCAGAATAGGGGAGATGTTGACAGAGGTGCAAGAAACAGCCCCAAACAGGAAGTGTTAGAGAGATCCAGAGACGCAGGGCGGGTGTGCACTCCAGCCTCCAGGCCCTGAAGGCTGACTCTGGAGTGGGAGTGCACCCCCCTGGGTGGCGCCTGACCCAGCCCCTTGTGTGCCAGGGGAATGTGTCACAAAGGTTGTTTTTCTGCCACCAGGGATGACCTTCTCCACTCAGGCTCACGTCCCTAAGTACCCTCCTAACAGCCACAAGTCGTACCCTAGCGCCTTGCCCACCCCATCTCGGGAAAGGTGACCTGAGAGGCCCAAGCTTATTCCTGCCCTCCCTGAGCCATGCTTCCTGCCCAGCTTCCTCAGGCCTCTGTGGCCAATGGCAATCTCCTTGCTTGGGCTGGGCACACACACACTACACTCTCCCCCTTGGGGCTGCATGGTCTGCAGATGCACACTCCCATGTCTCATCCTCTGGGGGGAAGGATTTACGAAGCTCTCTCTGCCTGCAGCCACTGTGACCCAGTGGATGCAGACAGAGAGCCAGTCAGCAGTGCCCCAGCAGGTGTGTGGGGCTCGGGACTCCGCTGTTGCCAGAGCCCTAGGGTTTACAGCCACCTAGGAGGGTTCGCAGATTCAAGTCTCTGCCACATGAGTTTGGGTAAGACCGACCTAGCTCTCTCTCTCTGCCTGCTTCTTTCTATACACTGATGCTATTAATAAAAATACCCACTTCAAGAGATGGTTGTAAAGATCACACTAGTGACTGAAGAGCGTCAGGCAGTGCCTGGCACAAGACAAATGCTCAATAAAAGGCTGCTGCTGTCATTCGTGTCGACACCAGCCCTGTGCTCCTTACCTGGAGCTGACCCAGCGCTCACACCCAGGATCAGAAAGGGAGGGCTGGGCTGATGAGCTGGGAGGGGGGGTGTGCCCTTCTCCTGCCCCCAGCTCCTTTCTGGACCCCTGCCCCAGCCCCTCTGCAGTCCTGGCCCTTTTTCGGTCCCTGATTGGGTCCGCCCCTTTTCCACCGCGGCCCGCCTGAGGCCAGGATGTGTTCCCAGGCCGGCGGATTCTGGAGCAGGGCCCGGCCACTCCCCGGAGTCTGTATGCCGAGAACCGCCCCGCGCCCTCTCCCCTACGCGGGGTAGGCCGGCCCTGGGGCGCCTTAAAAACCAGAGCTGGCGCTCGGCATCGCGACTCTGGGCAGGATCCAACGTCGCTCCAGCTGCTCTTGACGACTCCGCAGATCCCCCGAAGCCATGGCCAGCAAAGGGTTGCAGGACCTGAAGCAACAGGTGGAAGGGACCGCCCAGGAAGCGGGTGAGGACAGCGCGCGACCTAAGGTCCAGGCAGGGGCACCTGCGTGGACGCGCAGGCAATAGGGGAGAGTCTGCGCGGTCCGCAAGTACGGGGACCGCAGCTTGGCTCGTTCCTCCCCTAGATCCGGGGCGGGCAGGATGCCCACCCAGGCCAGCGGAGAGATGATGCCCCGAGAGAGGCGGTGGAACAGAGGCTCCTGGGGAGCTCGGCCGCGCAGCGGGCACTGTGGGAGCCCCTCCAAGGAGGCCGCGCCCGGGTCCTCAGGCGAGGGTGAAGGTCCAGGACTGGGACCCGGCGCGGCCCGCCACCACCTCCACCCGCGCGCTACCAGAGGCTGCCCCATACCCCACTGGACTTTATTTCCATCCTGCCCCCATTCCCCAAAAGTAATCATTGCCTTTAAGTCCCCACTTGGCAAAGAAGGTCCTTAATTCCTCCACCTCTTTCCTCCTTTTTTCTGGAGGTGACACGGCTGGGATGGAGGCATAGGAGATGTGAGGAGAACCCTGGGTCACCAGGGTGGCTCTTCCCGCACAGAGCCCAGGCTTCCTTAGGACTCCAGCTCCCAATCCGTCCTGCCCATATCCCAGTAGGGAGACAACATCCAAACCAACCCCTTCCTTCACCAGTGCCCGGGGGGGCCCCCAGTTCCTCCCTTGAGACTAAAATGCTACCCAGGAGGCCTCTGTGTCAGGTCTCTTCCTTCTGGGCTTCACTTTCCCATCTGAGGGCTGGGTGCAAAGGATGGGCTGCTTTCTGATGGGTTAATCCAGACGAGGTCCCTAAGAGCCTATCAGCACACTTGCCTGACTAACCCTCTCCGCAGGAGGGAACTGGGTAAAGCAGGCTCTTTCCTGTTCAGCAGCAGGGAAGAGTTACAACTCTGCTGGCCCGGGGCTGGTGAGCACCTGGAAACTCCATTCCCCGCAGGCCGGAACTCTGGTCCAGAGGAGACGGCCCGGCCTTGGAAGTTTCGCCTCTTTCCGGCACTTGCCCCCCTAAAGTCTTTCGCTGCCGGTCCAGAGGCACTGGCCTTTTTTGTGTGCCCTCCGGGACAGGCCACGGGAGGGAGGAGGCAGTGAGGGCCTGGCAAAAGTCTAGGCCCAAGGGCCAAGTGGGAATTCAGGCATTTGGGCCAGGCTTCTAGGGGAGAAGCTGTAAAAGGGGGCAGGGGTCTTCTGGGCCATGGCTAGCAGCAGCCAGCAGCCAACAGCCCAGACGCCAGCTGCAGCCTGGCCCTGCCCTGCCTTCCTTCCCCTGTCCAACATGTTCTCAGCAGCCCTGGAGATGAAAAGGGAAGCCCCTCCCCAAACAGGGGAGGAGCTCAGAGTTAGAAATAAACAAGAACACCCCAGAGGCATAGAAAGGGCTCCTGCCCCTCGCGCTGGGCGGCCCTGGGCCAGGGACTTAAGCTCCGTGGCATCCATCCCTTGGGCTGTACGACAGAATACTCTGGAGAACACGAGGGGCATGGCAATGATGGGGCCCCTGTGGTCGGTGATGCCTCAACAGGGGATAAAGGCCACATCTCTCTGTTCCAGTGTCAGCGGCCGGAGCAGCAGCTCAGCAAGTGGTGGACCAGGCCACAGAGGCGGGGCAGAAAGGTCTGGTGTGGCTGGAGGGAGGCGGGCAACCCCAGCACACCTCCCACTACCCACTCGACCCCGGGGCCCAGGCACACCCGTCTCCTTTGCAGAGCCTTCTGCCCACACGGCCCCAAGCAGGTCCCCTGGGAGACCCGGGCCAGGCTAAGCCTACGTGCACTGGTTCCCCCCGCCCTGCCTGACCTGCCATCTTCCGCCCTTCCCCAGCCATGGACCAGCTGGCCAAGACCACCCAGGAAACCATCGACAAGACTGCTAACCAGGCCTCTGAGACCTTCTCTGGGATCGGGAAAAAATTTGGCCTCCTGAAATGACAGCAGGGAGACTCCGGTGACCCCCCTCGAGGTGCCATCCAACAGAGCCTGGCCCTGAGCTCCAGGCGGCCGCCACCTCCTCGGTCTGCCCCCTCATTAAAATTCACGTTCCCACCCTGTGTCTACTCCGTGTCTCCTCACAAGCTAGGCCCAGTTCTCCCATGCCAAGAGCAGAGTCCCCTTAGCTGGAGTCCTGGGCTCCCAAATTCGGAAATCCAAGCCGACTGTCTCAGGAATGTTTTCCATCCCGCCAAGGGCCTCCCGACGCTCCCTGACCCGAGGCTCAGCCCCGCTATCGGTTCGTGCCCCTCCCTCGTCTGACTCAGAAGCCAGCCCCCGCCCTCATTCCCCGTCCCAGGATCCCCGGCCCTCCAGGGAGCCGGGCAGGACTAGGCCCCCAGATCCTCAGAAGGCTCCGCTCTGGGAGGGGCAAGGGGCCCTGCAAAGGCGGGGTCCTCAGGAACTTCTCTCCCCTCGCTGTTCCTGGAGGCTGGGAACAGGGGAGACGACCCAGGGCCTCCGGACCTCAGGAGGCGGGAGGTTGTGGGGGCGACGCGGAGTGGGGAGCCGGGCTTCCGGCCCTCGCTACCCGGCGTCGGCCTACGGGGTGCCTGCGCACCCGCCCCACCCAGCGGTGAGTCACGGGGCAGGGCCCGCGGGGCGCTTTGTTGTGTGGGGCGCGGCAGCTCGGCTTGGTCCTACCCTGACACGCCCCTAGGAGGGGCTTCGGGGCTCGAGGCCTCGCACGTGAGCACAAAGACTGTGGGGCGGGGCCTTGCACGTGCGCGCTCGCCTGCAGGAGACCCTTCCCTTCCGCAGCCCTTTCCTTCCGGACAAACCTGTAACTTCCGCCCCCAGAAGGTTCTGTCGGGCCAGTCTCGGATGGACTGGGGTTCCCAGCACCCCCGGTACGTGTCCACGCGCGCGGCCCCGGCCCCGGCCCAGGCCCAGGCCCAGGCCCCGGGTACGCCCTGCCTGTTGGTGACTCACCTGGCACTGGTTGAGCGCCGGATGAGGCCCGGCCCTGGCAGTGGGCGCAGGCTGCTGCGGCCCCTTCCTCCCCGCGCCACCTCCGCCCCACTGAGCCCCTAGCGGTTCCTGTCCCACAGCTCCAGCCAGGCCTTTACCCCGGCACTCCCTCCACCTGCAATCGCCTCCCATCCGGACCGCGCGTCTGGGGATTCTGCGTTTCATTTCAAGCATATTGACTACGCTGCGCTTCCCAGTTCTGGAGAGATTTAACCAGCGGACTCGAGGCGCGCACCCTGCCTTCCTGGCTTCCCAGCAGGGGACGGTGTCCCCAACCTGGCTGCCAGCCCAGGTGCTGCGGGGCAGGTCTGCCTAGGAGGCCGTTCCCTTCTCCAGTCTATCTCCCGCGCGGGGCACGCCTCTGCCACCCTCACCCCAGACTTGCCCCGGTTCCACGGTCGGTTACTTGTTGCTGACTGTCCCCAAAAGGAAGATCTTTCTAAGTCTGCAAAATGTGCGAAAGTCCTTGAAGAGACACCTAGAGCAGTGTGGGGGGGTGGGAAGGCGTTTCCAGGAGCCCCCGCCTCCAGGAACAGGTCCCAGGGTCTGGAGAGCCAGCCTCGGAGCCACTCTAGGAGGCTGGTGGGGCTGGACTGGCAAAGCCCGGCATGGTTCTGGTGTACGTCATTCCCGGGTGACTCAGGGGTGAATCCCAAGGAACTGTTCACTTTTTCTCCTTGTGAGTGATCGCCTTAGGCACGAACCAGCTGTGGCCAAGGAGAGAGGTCAGGTCTGAGGCCAAGGGTCTTCTAGGAAAGGCTTTTCTTGCCTCAGGGTGGGGCGTGCTGGCTCACGCCTGTAATCCTAGCACTGTGGGAGGCTGAGACCGGGAGAATGGCTTGAGTCCAGTAGGTCGAGGGCCGCTGCACTCAATCTGGGCAACAGAATGAGGCCCTGTCTTAAAAAATAATAATAAATAAATAAAAAGACCAGCCACCTTTCATCTTCCCCTGGACATCTTGTGGCTGGAAAAGATCCCTAGAACCAGCCACTTGAAACCACTGGAGGAACATGCCTGAGGAAAAGCCCACCTGCTGATTAGGGCAGAGCCTCCTGAACCTCCAGCTTCCTACAGCACCCCCTCCCTGTCCACCTCAGCCACCTTGACCTTCCCATCGTGCTCCTGCTACCTGGGGATCTTCACACCTGCTGCATTTTCTGCCTCGCATACTCTCCATAAATCACCCTTGCCTATTGCTCAGCAGCCTTGAGCATGCCCCCCACCCCACAATGTATCAGGCCACTGGTGAGGCATTCTCACACCCCCTGTACCTCCTTTTTACAGTCACAATGAATTAATCCGTTGCTTTCATGTGTGCTTCTCGATGGTGGTGGTTCCTGGGGCTGGAACCAGTCCTCTCTCCTAATTAGTCCATGCCCAGTGTTCAAGCAGCACTGGCTAAATGAATGCATGGAGGACTTTTGTTCTCTTGCTGGGTGACAGTGAGTTCTCATTTTCAGGTTCACCATGGAGCCATCTCTTCAATGCAGCCCCTTCCATGCTGTCCCAGCCTCATGGTGCTGGCGCTCCCATGGTGCTGGCCCTCCCATGGCGCTGTGCAATTGCCTGTTCCTATGTGCCTCTGCTCCCCAACACTGGTAGCCCTGGAGGGCAAGGCCAGGTGGGACTTGCCTTTTGGATCATGTCTGGGACACAGAGGGCACAGAGCCAGTATCACTGTAGTAGTTTCCTTGCCCCATCGCAGAGCAAGTCATACAGCCGAAACGCCGCGTTGCAGCAGAGAAAGAGGTTTAATTGCAGGGCTACCAGATGAGATGGGAGAAAATCTCAAATCTCTCTCCGTTTGGGGATAGGGTTCTTAAGAGGTTTAGAGCAGGCCAAAGGGTGAAGATTTTTGATTGGCTGAAGAGTGCAGAGTGAAATCACGGCACAGGGAGATGAAGAAACTTTTTTTTTGAGATGGAGTTCTTGTCACCAGGCTAGAGTGCAGTGGTGCGATCTGGGCTTACTGCAACCTCTGCCTCGGGGTTCAAGCAATTCTCTTGCCTCAGCCTCCCAAGTAGCTGAAATTACAGGCACCCACCAACACGCTTGGCTAATTTTTGTATTTTTAGTAGAGGCTGTGTTTCACCATGTTGGCCAGACTGGTCTCGATCTCCTGACCTCGTGATCTGCTTGCCTTAGCTCCTCAAAGTGCTGGGATTACAGGCTGTGAACCACAGTGCCCAGCCGAAAAAACTATATTCTTGTGCTGATTATGTCTCTCTGAGCTGTTCAAACTCGTTAGGGTCACTTGTTTCACTGAATCCAAAAAACATTTTAGGCTGGGCACGGTGGCTCACACCTGTAATCCCAGTACTCTGGGAGGCTAAAGTGGTTGGATCACCTGACATTATGAGTTCAAGACCAGCCTGGCCAACATAGTGAAACCCCATCTCTACTAAAAATACAAAAATTGTCCAGCTGCGCAGGAGGCTGAAGCGGAGAATGGCTTGAACCTGGAAGGCGGAGGTTGCAGTAAGCAGAGATCGTGCCACTGCACTCCAGCCTGGAAGACAGACCGAGATTCCCATCTCAGAAACAAACAAACAAAAAAACGTTTTAAGCAATTCCTAAACAAAAGCCTATGGTTCTAACATCAGAAAGCCAAACTGTAGGAACAGTGGGGATGCAGATGGTCAGTATCCAATGACAAGGGAAGTTCCGTAGAAGGAATTTGGTCAGAGCACAGCCTCATTATGCTTAATTAAAACTATTAATGCTTAATTATAACTATATTGCTTCTGTCTAGAATACTTGTTAACACTGTGAGGACAGCTTCACCAGAGGAGCCTTTGGGAACCTATACTGCCCAGGCCTGTCTACACCAGGTTCATGGAGCAAGTGCCACCTAGACGTGCTGAGGAGGAAGGACTGTTGTCACACTACACCTGTTGGGTGTCAGTCAAGTCTCCAGAGATCAATTCTTCCATTAGCAATGCCACAAATAATTCCTAATTCTACAAATTCCAGTTCCCCATCTAGCCAAACACGCAGTCACTAACAGAACACTGAGGTTCCACTTATAAATGACTGTGTTTTCAGGTGGTCGTGTTCCCTTAAGCCATTTTCTCTGGATGTAGTTCCTTCCTCCCTCCTCTTCTTCACTCCCATTTTCAGTCTGTAGGATGAGCTTCCTTGTGTTTATCTCCCAAACATCTACCAGTGGATTTCTCAGCTTTGACCCGTCAGACTGCGCATGACGCAGGGTGTAGATTCTTCCACTTTCACCTTCTCTCCCTCCCCCACATTTAAAAATGTTAGTTGTCCAATTTCTACACTGTGAGAACAAGCAGATTCACATTCCATTCCTTAACCCTGAACCACACCTTTGTTTTTGTCTTAGATCTGCAATTGAAGATATTAAAAGCTGTCTGCCATTCCTTCTGCTGAATATTTTCTGCTATCTTTCAGTTGGTTAGAATTAGTCCTGCAGAGTCTTCTGTTTTTTGTTTGGTTTTTTTCTTTGAGACAGAGTTTTGCTTTTGTTTCCCGAGCTGGAGTGCAATGGCGAGATCTCGGCTCACTGCAACCTCTACCTTCTGGGTTCAAGCTATTCTCCTGCCTCAGCTTCCCGAGTAGCTAGGATTACAGAGGTCCGCTGCCACACCTGGCTAATCTTTGTATATTTGGTGGGACAGGGTTTTACCATGTTGGCCAGGCTGGTCTTGAATGCTTGACCTCAGCGATCCACCTACCTTGGCCTCCCAAAGTGCTGGGATTATAGGCCTGAGCCACCACACCCGGCCTAGAGTCTTCTCAAGAATGAAATAGTTATAGATGATAAATGTTTACAGAGATAAGCATCTGAGATCTCAGTTAATAATTTTTATAGGTGGGTAATGGTTCCATGAGGGTTCTTTATAGTCTCCCAGGTTTGAGCGATTCTCCTGTCTCAGCGTCCTGTCTTAGGTCATGCCTGTAGCTGGAATTCCAGGCATGTGCCACCACACCTGACTAATTTTTGTATATTTAGTACAAACAAGGTTTCACCATGTTGGCTAGTCTGGTCTTGAACTCCTGACCTCAGGTGATCTGCCCACCTCGGCATCCCAAAGTGCTGGGATTACAGGCGGGAGCCACTGCACTCGGCCCATTATATTCTATTTTTGTGTATGACATTTTCTATTTTTAAAAAGGTAAAAAAGTTAAAACATTTTTAAAAAGAAGGGATTATATAAACAGTATTCTGGTTTTTAAATGTTTGGTTGGTATTGTTAGTCTGTAGCCTTTAGACTTTACCCCTGGCTGGGTTTGAGGTTTGTGGCTCCTTCTTCAGCTTGAGCGTCTTCTAGGTGTGGCTGTACTGCCTTCTGGCGTAGAAGGTTGAGCAGGCCCTACCTGTGTGATGTCCACTGAAACTTCTTTTTTATTATTTATTTATTTATTATTTTTTTGAGATGGAGTTTCGCTCATGTTACCCAGGCTGGTGTGCAATGGCGCGATCTCGGCTCACCGCAACCTCCGCCTCCTGGGTTCAGGCAATTCTGCCTCAGCCTCCCGAGTAGCTGGGATAACTTCTGTTTTAAAAAAATTTTTATTTTAGGCCGGGTATGGTGGCTCACACCTGTAATCCAAGCACTTTGGAGGCCAAGGTGGGCGGATCACCCAAGATCGGGAGTTCAAGACCAGCCTGACCAACATGGTGAAACCCCATCTTTAAAAAAATAAATAAAATTTTATTTTAACTTATTATTTATTTTGAGGTGGGGGTCTCACTATGTTGCCCAGGTTGGTCTCAAACTCTTGGCTTCAAAAATCCTCCCACCTTGGCCTAACAAAAGTCTGGGATTACAGGTGTGAGCCACTGTACCAACCTCTTATTGGATTTTTTTTTTTTTTTTTGGTAGAGACAGGATCTGGCTCTGTCACCCAGGCTAGAGTGCAGTGGCCTGATTATGGGTTCCTGCAGCCTCAAACTTCTGGGCTCAAGCGATCCTCCTACCTCAGCCTCTCAAGTAGTTGGGATTACAGGTGTGTGCCACCATGCTCAGCTAATGAAAAAAAAATTTTTTTTTGAAAGATAGAGTCTCACTATGTTGTTCAGGCTGATGTCAAACTCCTGGGCTCAAGAGATCCTCCCACCTCGGCCTCTCCACAACACTGGGATTATGGACGTGAGCCACTGTGTCCAGACCCCACAGGAACTTTCTAATAAGCAACATGATTTTTCAGGCTTGCTCTCTTTCTTTATGTTTGAAGTACAATAATTTCTTTAGAGTCTGTCTCAGAGGTTATGGTTATGATTCACTGTTCCCTGGTGTGCAGTTCACCCTTTCAATACCAATTCTAGGCCAGGTGTGGTAGCTCAGGCCTGTAATCCCAACACTTTGGGAGGCTGAGATGGGAGGATAGCTTGAGCCCAGAAGTTTGAGATCAGACTGGGTGACATAGTGATACCCCATCTCTACCAAAAAACAGAAAAGTATCCAAGTGTGGTGGTGCATGCCTGTAGTCCCAGCTACTAAGAAGGCTGAAGTGGGAGGATTCTTGAGCCCAGGAGTTGGAGGCTGCAGCGAGCCATGACTGTGTCACTGCACTGCAGCCTGAGTGGCACAGTGAGATCCTGTCTCAAAAAAAATTGTAGGCCAGGTGCCGTGGCTCATGCCTGTAATCCCAGCACTTTGGGAGGCCGAGGCTGGTGAAACACGAGGTCAAGAGATCAAGATCATCCTGGCCATCATGGTGAAACCCTGTCTCTACTAAAAAATACAAAAATTAGCTGGGCATGGTGGCGTGAGACTGACGCAGGAGAATTGCTTGAACCCGGGAGGTGGAGGTTGCAATGAGCCAAGATCTCACCACTGCACTCCAGCCTGGCATCTGGTGACAGAGCAAGACTCTGTCTCAAAAAAAAAAAATTGTATATATGTATGTGTATATATATACATGTATGTGTTTATATATATATGTGTGTGTGTGTGTGTGTATGTATATATATACGTGTGTGTGTATACATATATATCCAGAAGACAGATTGTTGGATCATAAATTAGCTCTATATTTAATTTTTGGAGGAATCTCCATACTATTTCTCTTTCTTTCTTTCTTTTTTTTTCCTTGAAATGGAGTCTTGCTCTGTCGCCAGGCTGGAGTGCAGTGGTGTGATCTCGACTCACTGCAACCTCTGCCTCCCGGGTTCTAGCGATTCTCCTGACTCAGCTTCCCAAGTAGTTGGGATTACAGGCAGGCACCACCACACCTGGCTAATTTTTGTATTTTTAGTAGAGATGGGGTCTCACCATGTTGGCCATGTTGGCCTCGAACTCCTGAGCTCAAGTGATTCTCATGCCTCCGCCTCCGGAGTAGCT